AAAACATTTCACTACATTTTCTTGGTGCTGTGAGGGAGGCGTAAGGTAACAATGTTTATTTACAGATGACAGACTTAGTCTTAGAGATAAATGGTTTATCCAAAGCCATACTCCAGAGGTAAATCTAGGTCTTAATGACTTCAAATCATGTTTGTTTGTTTTTTTTTTCCCACTATATAACCCACAGAAAATTAATAGTACCTTTTTTTTTTTTTTTTTTGAAACAGAACAAAGGTCGCAGGCATTGCCTTCCATGTGCAAAGCCCTCAAAGCCCTGTGTTTGATCCCCAGCAATGGGAAAAAAAGGTTGAAACGGAATGAAAATATTCAGAATGAAACAGTCCTACCTTTGGTTTAGCTGAGGTTTGGGTTTTAGTTTGGTTTTTGGTCCTGGAGATTGAACTCTCAGCCTTATACATGCTAAGCATGAGCTCTACAAAGGAGCCACACCCCCCGACCCTAGCTGAGGTTTGTATCGGTTCTGGAAGAGAATGTTCAGTATGATTTAAAGCAGTCAAGGAAGACTTCAGCCTGACATCGCTGAAAATAGTTTGCAGCTTTTATTTATTTATTTATTTATTTTAAAGAGAGAGTGAGAGAGGAGAGAGAGAGAGAGAGAGAATTTTTTTTTTAAATATTTATTTTTTTTAGTTCTCTGTGGACACAACATCTTTGTTGGTATGTGGTGCTGAGGAGGATCGAACCCGGGCCGCACGCGTGCCAGGCGAGCGCGCTACCGCTTGAGCCACATCCCCAGCCCAGTTTGCAGCTTTTAATCTTTTTTTTTTCTTTTGATTTTTTTATGCATTTATTTCATCCTCTATTTACTGTATGCTAAACATTATGACCAAGTGCTGGGGATATGAAAATAAAAGACAAGGGCTGGGGATGTGGCTCAAGCAGTAGCGCGCTCGCCTGGCATGCGTGCGGCCCGCGTTCGATCCTCAGCACCACAAACAAAGATGTTGTGTCCGCCAAGAACTAAAAAATAAGTATTCTCTCTCTCTCTCTCTCTCTCTAAAAATAAATAAATAAATAAATAAAAATAAAAGACAAGCTTCGACTAAGTGATAAATACATACAAGAAATCCAAATGGAAGTATCCAATAAACAATTGCATATGTGAGTTTAGAGCTCAAGAGAAAGATCTGAGTTAAATACCTAGATTTTATGATGAGTAGCATGTAGATAATTTTGGTAACTGTTGGTGTGGATTATCTTGACAAAGAGAATGTACATTAAGAAGAGGTGGCTATGTACATACTTAGGGAACACTAACATTTAAGAAGAGGTCATGGGCTGGGGATGTGGCTCAAGTGGTAGCGTGCTCGCCTGGCATGCATGCGGCCCGGGTTCGATCCTCAGCCCCACATCCAAAGATGTTGTGTCCGCGGGGAACTGAAAAATAAATATTAATATTCTCTCTCTCTCTCTCTTAAAAAAAAAGAGAAGAGGTCAGAGAAGGCTCAGAAAGGTCACAGTAATAGAAGTTAACTCAATCATTCATTTAAAATATATATGTTTATTAAACTTTTAGCCACTGTCAAGACAAAGAAGAACCTCAGGAGCCAAAAGAGTATTCCAAGGGAGGAGAAAGGTCAACAAGGTCAAATGCCACAAAAAGGGTGAAAGGATGAAGACTGAAGAGCCATTCAGTGAATGTAACCAGGAGGTCTTTGGTAGCCTTGATGATAGCAATCTCAGTGGATTGATGAGGGCAAGAACTAAAAAAAGGCTGGGAATGTATCTCAGTGGTCAAGTGCTTACCTTGCATGTGTGAGACCCTGGACTCTATCCCCAGCACTGCAAAACAAACAACCCAAACCTAAGTGAAGGTTGGGGAGGTAACTCAATGGTAGAGTGCTTGCCTAGCATGTTCAAGGGCCTGGGTTCGATTCTCAGTATTGAAACAAAACAAACACCTTAAATAGGAAAAATAGTAATGCATTGATAGTTAACACCTACTGTGCCAGTGCTGTGCTAAATGGAAAAGATACAGGGGTGAGCAAGACAGACATACTATGTGGAGCTTACAGTAAAATGGACAGGAGATTTTGATTCCTCATTCACTAGGACTAGGGAGATGTGATGATGATAAATGTATCTGTATGAGGCAGAAAGTTGATAGAACCCTCACTTTATTGCTCTATTTTTCTCGGAAGATGGGTGTAGATTCTATTGGAATGAGCAAAGAGTAGTGAGGAAAGGAACTTCAGGAAAAAGTAGAAAGTTTCAATTAGCCACTTGTGGGAAATAGGAAAGGGTGATTTTCCCAGTTTGGAGAGCCTAAATTTATGAAGATTCCAACCTTTGGAACTGTGTGATTTTCTTCAGAACACCAGGGGAGTAGGAAGAGAGTTATGTTGCTTTCTCTTTTGAAATAACATTCTCACCTATTTCTTTCCATACACAATGCTATCACTCTTAGATTGCCCCTCTCTTCTCATCCTTAGACTTCCCTGTTTTCTTCTTGCTAGTAGTTTTCTCTTCTCTTCTTGCTTAGAACCAAAAACATTCTGACAAAAGTCCCTTATTCTGGGGCTGGGGATGTGGCTCAAGCGGTAGCGCGCTCGCCTGGCATGCGTGTGGCCCGGGTTCGATCCTCAGCACCACATACAAAGATGTTGTGTCCACCGAAAACTAAAATAAATAAATATTAAAAAAAAATAAAATAATAAGTTCCTTATTCTGGAACTTAGAATGAGATTCTACTTTAACCTATCACCATGGTGTTCTAGGCCTTCCATAATTTGTGGCCCTCCTCCCCTTTCCCTTGCTTCTAACCAATGCTGTCCCTGGGTATCAATCTCATGTGACCTTCTGCAATCCAGGCTTCAGGCTCCATGCTCACCAAGTAAGAATTTTTGCTTAAGCAATGTCCTTCTTTAGAACATTTTCTTCTTTATCCCATTCCCACCAAAGTTCCTTTGTCCTATTTGGTAAAATGCATCCAACTTCATACCCTGCAGTCATCATGAAGAGTATTTATTTCCTTTACATTTAGAAATTTATGTTCATTGTACCTTTTTTGTTTGTTTGAGACTTGTCATTTAGTACAATAAATCTTGTTTTAATTCAATTAGGTGGTCATTTTCCTCAGGATTGGGATCAATCCCGCAGAGATGGTACAGTAGATTGGAACTGTTTCAAATTTATTGAATGGAACTGAGATTTGAACTAGGCCCTATAACTTTAAATGAATTACATATTAGTCCCTATTCATACAGTACTCAATAAATAATATTTGAGTACATCAGCTGCTCAGCCTGTGCTAGGAGCTGAAGAGATTTCTTTTAACCTCTGAATACCTCTAATTTTTTTTTCTAGTGCTAGGGATCCAACCCAGGGTCTTGCACAAGCTAGGCAAGTGGTCTACCACTGAACTACATATCCAGCTCTTGAATGCCTGTAAATTGCAAGGTAGTTTTGTCCCAAAACTTTTTTCCAGTCTTTAAAATAGCTCCTAATTCAGGGCTGGGGTTGTGGCTCAACGGTAGAGCAAGGCCCTAGGTTTGATCCTCAGCAACACATAAAAATAAATAAATAAAATAAAGGTATTAAAAAAAAAAAAACAGCTCCTGATTCAACTGTCCATTGAATTGCCTTAAATCTGAGACTCCTCAGTTGTTCATCTCGTGTGGAGATGTTCCACTATTGCTGATTGTGTTTATCTCACTGGTTCACTTGGCTTTAAGTCTCTGTTGCTGCCTCTCTCTTTTTTCTCTTTCTGTGTGTGTGTGTCTTGCTTACTCCCAGTTGGTGTTGTTACCTACTCTGATCCCAGTCAGTTGAGGTTGGTGTGGAAATGGTAAATCTATCCCTCCTTTCTTATATTTCAGAGACCAAGAAGTGGGTAGAAGTGCCCACTCTGATAACACTATCTGAGAATGCCAATGTCTCCCAGGCCACCTACTTTCCTGGGAATTTTGAGAATGTCTTTTGTCCCAGCCCCACACAGAGAAGAATCCTAGCAGGCACAACCAAGGTGGAGACCAAGCAGTACTTCTGAAGTACTCTCATTCTTCCTCCTCACTAACATTCCCAGAACCAAATGGTTTTTATGGTGGGTGGGGATGGAGGAGCAGTTCTGCTATTTGGAGAGATGTCTAGGGCTCTTTGATGAATCCTGAGCCTATGGGGCACTATGGATTAGGGCTGGTCATTTTCTCTTTTAGTTCGCTTTGTGACTCCTCTTTCTGTGGATTCTCTCAATCAATTCTTCTGGGTCTTCGCATTTCCCTTTTGGCTTCAGCCACTCCCACCTGTCCTTTTTCATCAACCAACAGCCTGACTGCCAACCACCCTAGCTTCCTGGCTCCTTAGTTCCTGGCGCGGTGACCCAAGCCCATCCTGCTTTGACTGTAGAGGTGGGAGGGGAGGAGATGGTTTTGGATAAGAAAAGCCTTCCAAGGGCACTTTCCTGTCCTTTCCCAGGCCTCAAACCCCCAAGAACATGCTAGGCCTCCTCATTGAGGTCAGGAGGCATCAGAAGAGGTGCATGGGAAGAAGTAAGGAGACCGAGGTATAAAAGCCTGAGGAGGAGGAACGGAAGGATGGGGCAGAGCGCGGGAGAGGCCAGAGACTTCCTAGGGCATAGGGTCGCCAGAGCCTTAGAGGGGAAGTGAGGGAGGATCGCGCAGGCTCTGACAGCCCAGCCCGCGGAGGCCTCCGGGTTTCCTGTCTCTTGTCAGCTTTGCTTTTTTGTGGCATTTCTCAAGGCCTCCCCCCCGTCGGCCGGTTTCTGTGTTTCTTTTCCTCTGTCCGGGTCTAGCAACAATCCACGACCTCCCCATCTCACTCGGGTCTCCGGTCTCCAGCTCGCCCTCCCCGCCGGGCTCTCGGGGTGGACGGTGCTCCTGGAGCCCCGCCCCCGAGGAGTGCTACTGGCGGAGAGGGCGGGAAGGCGGGGTCTAGCGGGCCTCTGGCGACACGGTTGGCCGCGGCGGCCGGGAGGCGGGCCGGAGGCGGGCCCGGCCGGGAGGCGGGCGGGGCGGCTGGGGCCGAGCCCAGAGCTCCGGGCGGTCGCATTGTTTTCCTCCGCGGATCCGCGGCGGGAGTGGGGGCTGCGACTCGGACCTAGGGCTCTCGTGACCGACAGTCCCCCGGAGCCCACCTGCAAGCTTCACCCAGTTGGGACGACAGTCATCTCTCGCCTGGGCGCCCACCACAGACAGAACTCTGCGCGGTGCGGGCTGCTGGCCGCCCGCCGCGATCTCGATCCCGCTACCCCGGATCTCGGAGCAAGTACCGGGGCAGAGCGGCGTGGGGCAGGCGGGAGGAAGCGGCTCCGCAGGTGAGCGGCCAGCAGACCCCGTGCTGGAGAGGCCAGGGGGACACCGGGCGCTGTGCGCCTGGCTGGCAGAGAGGGTCGGCGGAGTTGGGGCGCCCCGGGGAGGAGGGACTGTGGCCAGGCACCTTCACCGCACTGCCGGGCTCAGGTCCGCGCTCCTCTTTCGACTGGGCTCTCTCCGAGTCGCCTCCCCCTGGATTAGGGAACCAGAGGGGGAATTTTTTGAGGCGCGCACCGTACAGAGAGTGGAAAACCTGGTCCCTTGCCTCCCCCGCAGGGTAAATAAGGTTCCGAGACTTGGAGAACCGGACCCTCTGGTTGCCCCTGCGGGGATGGAAAGCGGGACGCGTCGTTCTGGACTTTGGTGTCAGGGCTGCATCTTCATCCTTGTGCAAGCAGGAGTCTGAGCACCTCTTGGGGGTTGGCTTGAGCACAGAGTCGGAGAAAGGCGCCCCGAGAAACCTCGGTCCAGCTCCTCTCTCCTTCTTTTACCCCACTCGGCCCAGGGCTTTGTTAGACTAGTCTCCCAAGGAGAAGAGCCGAGTGGCGACTGCATCCAAGCTCACCGACTCCGTTCAGCGCCGGCCTAGGGCCCGCCCTCGTCGGTTCCCAGCCTCTGGCCCTGTTTCCCTGGCTTTGGAGACCCGCCTCCGCTCCCCAACCCCCGCTCTCGTCCCCTCTCAGTCTGAGCTTGCAGGCCCCTTCAGCCCCTCCTCCCGCTAACGTGGCTCTGGGACCCGGTCCCGGCCCAGACTCTGCTACCCGCCCCTCCTCGGAGCCCCGGATCCAGCGAGGGGGAGACACGTCGAGCCCCTGGCCCCAGGCCCAGCTCACACGAAGCTCTAGACACCTGGATTATCCTCGTTGGGGGCTGGGTGGGAGGGAAGATAGGTGCCAACCTGGGGCTGAGAGCAAAGCGTTGGGGAAAGGTCTTGGATAAGGGAACTCGCCTAATCCGTGAGGCTTCTCGGTGTACCCTAGCTCCCCCTGAGGAAGGTGGACCCGGGCGGGCGACCAGCCCAGGGCTTCCTGCTATTGTCCCCAGCCCGGTCTCCCCTTCCCCAACCCTTCCCCATCTCTGCTAGACTCTGGCTATGACCTCCGCCACTCCCCAGAGGTGGCTGCCCAGCCAGGAGGAGAGAGAAGGGCTGTTTCCTCTTCCCATCAAGGAGAGGTTCTAGAAGGGGGAGAAAGAGTTGGCCAGGTCTCTCCCTACAATTCCTCCAGGTCTCAGTAAGCCTCTCCCCAAGTCAAGGGGATGGGTAGGAGATACCTAGATGCTGCTCCCCAAAAACATCTATGAAAAGCCCTCTTTAAAGATGTGTCATAGTGGAGTCTAGGGGCAAGGCAGAGGCTGACAAAGTGTTTTTAGAGGCGGACTAATCCAAGTGTGCAGTGTGTGTGGGGGTCTATGTGAAGGGGGGTTAGGTAGGAGGGAGACAGGGCCTGCTTTCCCAGGGAAGAAGGAAGGGGCTGGGGGTCCTTGTTATCAGAGCATTTTGCTGGAAATGAAGAGCATGCAAATGAAATGCAAATTAGCCTCTATTGTCCCTAGCCTGGGCGCTTTTGCTAAGAAGGCTTTTGGATTCTGAAGGTTTTAATATGGGAGTGGTCTTCATGCCCCACAAACTCTCCCATTACCCCTTTCCCCAAGGCTGGTCTTGCCGTTTCAGGAGTTTCTGGCTAGGGACCATCCCCTGCCCTCATATCTCTGGGCAGGAAGCTGCCAACACCTTTAAAACCAAACTAAATATCATCTCCCCTCCCCCTCTTCCCAAGCGGCATCTCCCTACACTAGAAGACTTTTCCTGAATTTTCACATTTACGTGTAAGAGATTGGGGCAGGAGGGTAACTCAGGTTCTTCCCTCTTTTGTCCCTTTTTCCATCAGGTTGGAGGTCTCCTCTCCCCTTCAATCCCCCTAGGAGTTACCATCCCAGGTAAGGAAGCAGGGGATAGAGCAGGGACATCCAGGGAACAGGAAGAGGGTCCCGCTGTCCTCCCCACTTGCCAGCCAGAGACCAAAGTAGTTTCCAGGGTGAAGATAACAGTTGCCCAGGGCAACTTGGTGTGGGGGGGGGGCAGTAGGGGAGCTTAAGAGACAAGCTGTGTCCCTTCCCCTTCCCCTGGGAGTTCCAGCATCCGGAAAGAGGGGATGGGGGAAGGAGGCTGGCTCAGCCTTTCACACCAGAGGGTCCTTAGCTAACTGACTGTTCTGCCCCTGGGGAAGGGGTCATCATTAGGTGTTCCTACCCCCTCCCCTCCTCCAGCTCTCTTGGGGCCCCACCTGACGTCAGCCTCCCCACCAGTGACGCTGGATTGGGGGTGGGGGGACACTTGGGTCCTGGTTTCAAGAGTAGAAACAATGGGGAGATGGAAGGGGGCTGGGCCTGTAAGCTTAGGGTTTCTCCTTTAGGGGACATGGTGGGAAGGGCAACTAAGGATTGTTGTGATCCCTTCACAAAGAAAGGATTCTTCCTGACCTGATTTCAGGAGCCTCCTCAGCCCCTGACTTCAGCTTCTGGGGAAGGCAGGAAGCTGGTGTGCATCTCCCACTGGGGGACCAGCCAGGGTCAGCTGGCTGGGGGAGGCTGATGGGTGGGAATAAGACCTGTCTCACCATCCCCTCTACATATCCATCTTTCCAGGACTTTGGGCTACAATTGCCTGCCATTTAATTATTTATATTTCAATTTTAGAGGCAGCCTGATGAGGAGAGAAAGGGACAGAGGGGCATATTCCACTGTTTCACCTCACCAGTCCATTCTATTTCTGGCTCCCATAGGGCCAGTCTACAACCGACCCCCACCCCCATCAAGTACATGCGCTGGTTCTTTGGAGCCAGGGAGGGAACAGGGGGCTAGGAGAGGCTGGGAGGGGGCACAGTGGTCCAGGAGACAGCTGCAGCCAGAGCTAAATTTAGCCTCTGATCTGGCTTTGATGCAGATTCATTTTTGGCCAAGATGGTCCCCCCCAGCTCCCCTCCCTGTCCAGCTTTTTCCTTAGCTGTGGGAAGGGCCCCCCGGGAGCATGAGCTTAGATGGGGACAGTGACCCCTAGGCTGCCCCCCACACCCACCCTGTTCCTCCTGGATCCTAGAGGACCATGGCTGCCGCACAGCTGCCTCAGCCTGGGCACCGTGCCTGAGTCACTCCCAGTGTGGGGTGGGGGTCTGAGAGGGAGAGAGATGTAGACTTGGTGCCCTCTTTCTCTTCCCAGTGCCAAGGAGCCACTATTTATAATGTCAAGGCTTCAGTGTCTAATTATAGCTGGGAAGGGGTTAACACCAGGGGGGTCAGGAGGTGTCACCTACCAAATGTCCCAGACTCAGTCAGGAGAGAAAAGGAGAGGCTGAGTGAGAAGCCTGGAGCTACAGGCGTGTCCTGTCCTTACCTGGGGTCATGAAGGCAGGCCTCACACTAGCCAGTTTGGGCCAGTTGGAGAAGCAAGATCCTTGAGTGACAGTGACAGCTGGCTGGGACTAGGATAGAGCAGCAGAGAGGTTCTTGCCCCCACCCCACAGGGTCTTCTGGGGATAGACTGGGAGAGAAGCTGACTATTAGATGGAGGGAACTTGGCCCTTTGCCCCACTTTTCTGTTTCTCCTTTCAGGGCCAGCATATGGGTGAAGGGGCACCCCCTGGGGCCTGAGCTGCCCCACACAGGATGCTCCGTGTCCCCTACTTCATGCCCCTGCTGCTGCTCTTGCTGCTGCTCTCACTTCCCTATCCCGGAGCCACCTTTCCCCAGGACCCCCTCCCTCTGTTGATCTCTGACCTACAAGGTGAGTGACCCTTTCCACCCCACTTCTCAGTGCGCGAGCAGAGATGAGGCCAACATGGGGTACAAGTGGGAGAAGGCCCCAGCCTCAAAGAAGCGAAGAGCCCGAGCCGCCAAGGGCACGGTCAGGCCGAGGAGAGGCTGGGAGGGGGCAGCTGGTGCCTCAGGTTCATTCTTTCTTTTCCCTGGGACTCTTCACTTAGAGACAGTGTGATTTGATGGTTAAAATGTCCTCTTAGGGGTTAAGGCTGTAGCTCAGTGGCAGAGGCTTGCCTAGCACGTGTGAGGCACTGGGTTGGATCCTTAGCACCACATACAAAAAAAACAAGCAAATAAAATAAAGGTGTGCTGCCATCTACAATTACCAAAAAATAAAAAAATCCTGTTAGCCAGGTGGGATTGTGTCTACCTAAGCTACACTAAGTGGCAAAGCACCCTTGGGTTCAATCAGGAGTGCCGTGAAAAAGGTCGTGGTAGCAGTGGTGGGATGCTCATGGTGACACATGCCTAGAATCCCAATGACTCAGGAATCCATGCCAGCTTTAGCAAGATCCTGTCTCAAAATAAAAACAACAAAAACTGGGAATGTAGCTAAATTGTAGAGCACTCTGGGTTCAATCCCCAATACCAGAAAAGAGAAATAAAATGCCGGGCACAGTGGTGCATGCCTGTAATCTCAGTGAGACCTGTCTCTAAATGAAATACAAAATAGGGCTGGGGATATGGCTCGGTGGTCGAGTGCCCCTGAGTACAAAAGAAAAAAAAAAAAAAAGAAAATACAAAAATAAAAAGAAGATGAGCTTGGTGACACATTCTTTTAATCCCAGCAGTTTGGGAGGCTGAGATAGGAGGATTGCAAGTTCAGGACAGCCTCAGCAATTTAGCAAGGCCCTAAGCAACTTAGTGAGATCATGTCTCAAAATAAAAAGAGGTAGGGTTGAGGTTGTAGTTCAGTGGTAGAACACTTGCCTAGCATGTGTAAGGCACTGGGTTGGATTCTCAGCACCACATATAAATAATTAAAGGTCCATCAACAACTAAAAAAAATTATTTAAAATAATAAATAAATAAAAGAGTTAGCTCAGTGGTAAAGGACCCCTGGTCTAAATTCTAGTGCAAAATATGTAAAATAAAATAAAACAAATAAAAAGGACTGGGGGTATAGCTCAGTGATAGAATGCTTGCCTATCATGCACAGGGCCTTTGGTTAGATCCCTAGTACCACAAAACAATAAAAGAAGATGAACTCACAGCCAGTTTACATTCCTGCTAAGTTGCTCACTAGCTCGGTGATCTTTGTTAAGCTTATTTAACTTTTCTGTGCCTCAGTCTCCTCATCTGCAAAATGAAGATAATAATAGTGTTCTACCTCATGGGGTTATTTAGGGATGAAATGAGATAAAACATGTAAAGTGATGAGAACACATGTCTGGCACATATAATGCTTTATATTTATTTGTTATTATTATTAGTCACAAAGTAAAGGCCTGGTTCCCAACACCCCAACACCTCCTTTTCTACCACTTGTGCTACCACTAAGCCTAGGTCTTTTTTTTTTTCTTAAATATTTTTTTTTAGTTGTGGATGGACAAAATATCTTTATTTTTTTATTTTTATGTGGTGCCCAGGATCGAACCTAGGGCCTCACACATGCAAGGCAAGTGCTCTACCACTGAGCTACAGCCCCAGCTGAAACCTAGGTCTTACTATAATGGAAACCATAAGCCCAGTATTTCTGAAAACCTTTATCTGTTTGCAGTCCCTGTTATATATCTAGGATTTAGAGCAATTTTAAGGAAGGAAGAACTGCAATTGGGTTTTGGGGAGTAATTGTTGGGGAACAGATCTGAACAGCAAATACTTACATGTGCCAAATGCAGTTCTAAGCACTTTATGAAGTTAAATCAATTATCCCTGGACTCTGAGCTCTCTGTGAACACTGATGACTATGGTTTCCATAGTCAGGCCGGTGGATGCTGGAGTTGGTCAGGAGAGGCAAAAGCCCTGGAGGGCTGAGGTGACCTGTGAAGACCCTTGAGGGGAGAGTGCAGAGAGGGCTGGTTGAAATGGAGGAAGTAAATGCTCCAGATGGGACAGCATACAAGGTGGGTGGGGAATTGTTAACCCAAAGGCAGTTCCAAGAAAGGACTGGACTCAGCTCTGGAGTTATACAGACCTAGATCTAAATGAGCCCATGCAATTCCCTTAATTTTCCTGAGCCTCAGGCTCCTCATCTGCAAAATGGGGTCAACGTTAGCATTTACCTCATAGGATTAATGTACTAAGTGAGATCTAAAGTGCTCACAAGCTGGGCACAGTGGTGCACACCTCTAATCCCAGTGACTTGGGAAGCTGAGGCAGGAGGATCACAAGTTCAAAGCCAGCTAACTTAGAGAGACCCCAAGCAACTAGTGAGACCCTGTCTCAAAATAAAATATAAAAAGGGCTGGGGATGTGGCTCAAAGGTTAAGCACCCCTGGGTTCAATCCCTGGTAACAAGTTAATAAATAAATAAATTTTAAAAATAAATAATAAAGGGGGCCTGGGGATATAGCTCAGTGGTAGAGCACCCCTGGGTTCAACCCTTAGCACCAAAAAAAAAAAAAAAAAACCAAACAAATAAATAAAATAAAGTGCTAACACAGTGCTTAACAGAGATTGATTAAGTGCTCAGTGTCACTGGCATCATTTTTATTAATAGCTTTTGGTTTCCTCTCATCTTTCCCTGTGCGTGGCTGGGTTTCATGCTGTCGTGGGTGTTGGGAGTGCGTGTATCCTGGCTGGCCCTCAGCACTTCACCTCTCTGTGTCCTCCAGGTATTTCCCCATTATCCTGGTTCCGGGGCCTGGAGGATGATGCTGTGGCTGCAGAACTTGGGCTAGACTTTCAGAAATTCCTGACCTTGAACCGGACCTTGCTAGTGGCTGCCCGGTAAACTGGCCGAGGCACAGTTGTGGGGCAGACATGCATGCTCCTGGGCAGACATGGGACCTGCATGGCCACTGCAGCATCTTGCAGGGGACACATGCAGGTGCACAAGCCATGGGACACGGATATGCTTGGACCCAGAGCACAAATGCCAAGGCATGGAATAAAGGGAGGGTAGGGAGCAGGAGGTCTGTGGTTTGTCCCTGAGCAGGTGACTGTGGCTAAGGTGGGGGGCTAAGGAGCTCAGGTGGGGCACCTTGGCTCAGCTCTGATCCTCGTTACCTATCCCTTCAGGGAACACGTTTTCTCCTTCGATCTTCAAGCCCAAGAAGAAGGGGAGGGGCTGGTGCCCAACAAGGTGAGGGGCTGTGTGGGAGGAGGTGCAGGCATGGAGATGAGCTGGGAAAGGTCTAACAGTGGTCAAGTGGGTGGGAAGGAGGATCTGAAAAGAGCCATATGTGGGGGTCCAGATTGCCTCACAGTGTTCTACTTCTCCTTCAGTATCTAACATGGAAGAGCCAAGATATGGAGAACTGTGCTGTCCGGGGAAAGCTGACGGTGAGGAATAGAAAGAGCATCTAGGGGGAGAAAGAGGCCTCTAGCTTCTGCCCAAGGGTCTTCTACCATGCCAAAGTTCCTACCCACTTTTCCGTCCTAGGCCACTGAGGACAATGGAAAGAGGATTAATGCTTTTTAGTTCCCTTTATATTCCTCACAAAAAGGGAAAATGAGGCTCAGAGAGGCCAAAGGACGCGACCAAGGCTGCAGGGCTAGCAAACAGTGCAGCTGGGACTTGATCCCACATCATTCTGATTGGCTCAGGGTGGTAGCCTTACTTCTTGTGACCCCGAGTCCCAGTCCCAGCAACCTGTCACTGACCTAGAATTTTGGGTTCTCTAGGACGAGTGCTACAACTACATTCGTGTTCTCGTTCCCTGGGACTCCCAGACGCTGCTTGCCTGTGGAACGAACTCATTCAGCCCTGTGTGCCGCAGCTATGGGGTACAAAGAAGAGGGTGGGGGGAGGATTGGTTGGGAGGAGAAGAACTGGGTCAAGGAATGGGAGTGCCCAGAATGCAAGGGTCCAGAAGGCGTCAAGGGGACATGCGGGAGTGGGTTATGGAGCCTGACTCCAAGGTGCCAAGGATACCAGCAACCTGCTCCCTCTGCCCCCAGATAACTTCACTGCAGCAGGAGGGTGAGGAGCTGAGCGGGCAGGCTCGGTGCCCCTTTGATGCTACCCAGTCCAACGTGGCCGTCTTTGCAGGTGTGCACCTGGGCATGTGGCTGGAGGGAGCTCCTACCTTACACCTCTCCTATCTGGTCTTTCCCCTGTGTCCTTGAGTGGAGGGTTGAGGTAGGGGCCAGGTCCAGATCCAGGTCGGGGTGTGGATAGCCAAATAAGATGCAGGATGCAGACCCCTGGCCTCACCTACCCATCCCTCCAGAGGGCAGCCTGTACTCAGCCACGGCTGCGGATTTCCAAGCCAGCGATGCCGTTGTTTACAGAAGCCTTGGGCCTCAGCCCCCGCTCCGCTCCGCCAAGTACGACTCCAAGTGGCTGAGAGGTCAGGGCGGGCCTGGGGGAGGAAGCCTATTCTTGGGGCGAAGGTGCAGAGGGAGGACTGTGTGGGGATCAGGTAGAGGGTGTGGCAGTAAGCTCATGTATACAATAGGGAGAGGACTTTCTGGGCAGATATAGATACTCTTCCATACCTTTGCCTGTCACTCCCCACCTCAGAGCCACACTTTGTCCATGCCTTGGAACATGGAGACCATGTCTACTTCTTCTTCCGAGAAGTCTCTGTGGAGGATGCCCGGCTGGGTAGGGTAAGGACATGGGCACCAGGGATGGTAGCTGGAGGGTTCTTTTGGGTCCTAAGGAGCCAGTGTGAATCTGGGGAAGATTCTGGGACCCTAATCTGCACAGCACAATCCCCTGGACTCTGAGCCCCCACCTTGGTGTGGCCCCCAATTCTACCCTCACATTCAGCTGTGAGCTTCATCCTGACCCTACTGAACTACCATGCCATACCCTTAGCTTCGGCCTTAATCTCTGTCTTGGTGCTCTTAACTCACCTCCTCCCTCTCAGCCAGTCGACTCTCACTTTCCTCTTCCCCACCGGCACAGGTGCAGTTCTCCCGGGTGGCCCGTGTTTGTAAACGTGACATGGGTGGCTCACCTCGGGCCTTGGACCGCCACTGGACATCCTTCCTGAAGCTGCGGCTCAACTGCTCTGTCCCTGGGGACTCTACGTTCTATTTTGACGTCTTGCAGGCCTTGACTGGGCCTGTGACCCTGCATGGCCATTCTGCTCTCTTTGGAGTCTTTACCACCCAGACCAATAGGTTGGTACCAAGCTGAGCACCAACAGTGCGACTCCAAGTGGCTGCGAGGTCAGGGCGGGCCTGGGGGAGGAAGTCCCCTGTCTCACCAACATCCAAACTCCCCTCTCAAAGCCTTTATATTGATGAGCCAGGTGTGTTGGTTGCATCTGTCATCCCCGCTACTTGGGCAGCTGAGGCAGGAGGATCACAAGTTTGAGGCCAGTCTCAGCAAGATCCTATCTCAAAATAAAAAATAAAAAGAGGTGGGAGGTAGCTAGTGGTAGAGTTCGCTGGGTTCAACCCAGTACTACCCTTGCGCCCTCCCAAAAACGCACTGATGAGGGCAGCGAGAGAAAGCTTTAAGCAAAACCAGTTTGCTACCCACCTTTTGTTCGGGCAGCATGGTACCCAGAAGCTGCCCTATCCCTTAGTGTCTGTCCCCTAATATGGTACGCAAAAGGAGGCTACCGTTTCCTACCTAGTGGAGCTATGCAGTCCCTCTCAACCAACATTTACCCTACATTTTTTTTTCTGGCTCCCTCCAGCATCCCTGGCTCTGCAGTCTGTGCCTTTTACCTGGAAGACATTGAACATGGGTTTGAGGGCAAGTTCAAGGAACAGAGGAGTCTGGATGGTGCTTGGACCCCCGTGTCTGAGGACCGGGTCCCCTCACCCAGGTACCCAGATAGTGTTGGCTTTTGGGGGACAGAAGTAAGCATTATCTAAATGGGATAGGGAGGAGGGGTGAGGTGTCCAAGGCCTGGGAGGGGGCTTAGCAGTGTGTTGGCCATGGGATTGAAGAGCTGCAACAGGGATGGGAACAGTTGTGCAAGAGTCTGTGTGGAGGGCACAGGGGTTACCAAGTATTTTTAGGAGCAGTGGTGGGACACAGAACCTAACTAAGCCCAGGTTCCCCACACTAAGGCAGCCCCTTCTCATGTGCCCACCAGGCCAGGATCCTGTGCAGGTGTGGGTGGGGCAGCCCTCTTCTCCTCTTCTCGAGACCTTCCTGATGATGTCCTGACCTTCATCAAGGCTCACCCACTGCTAGACCCTGCTGTGCCACCTGCCACCCACCAGCCTCTCCTCACTTTCACTAGCAGGTATGGGGCTAAAACTACTAGCTAGCACCTCCTGCCCTCAGCCCCTCTCCTCTTTCTCTGACCCTAGAAGGTAAATCACATGATGAGTACTTCACGGGAGGAAGTACTCATGAAGGTGGAAGGGAGAGAGCTAAGAAAGGAGCCCTGGAGTGAGGAGTCGGGATGCAGGAATGGGGACCAGGACTCCTGGGCTCTCCTTGAATGCTCTAGCTGAACAGGTTACGCTGACCTGAGCCTATTGCTCCAGGGCTCTACTAACCCAGGTGGCTGTGGATGGCACAGCTGGTCCCTACAGAAACACTACTGTCCTGTTCCTTGGCTCCAATGATGGCATGGTGCTGAAGGTGCTGCCTCCAGGCGGGCAACCTGGGCGACCCGAACCTATCCTATTGGAAGAGATTGATGCCTACAGCCCCTCCCGGTGAGACCTCTGGAGGGCGGCCCCTGCAGAGCTGGAGGGGAGTGGAGGTGCAGATGGGGAAGTGGGAATGGGTTGGGAATTCCAACATTAGTTTCTTTTTTTAGGACAGGAGCTGTGGGATAGAGAAAGGGGCTTGGTGAAAAGACCAGATAGTGAGTTGGGGCAAGGTGATTCCATGGATTGTGCTTGGTTGCTCCTGCACCTCCTCACCTTCTGCTCATCACTTCTCCAAGGGAAAGGTAGCTCCACCTGCCCCATCCTGAGTCCTTCTGGCCTCACCCTAGGTGCAGTGGGAAGCGATCAGCCCAAACAGCAAGACGGATCATAGGGCTGGAGCTGGACATTGAGGGTCACAGACTCTTTGTGGCTTTTTCTGGCTGTATTGTCTACCTCCCTCTCAGCCACTGTGCCCGGCATGGGGCCTGTCAGAGGTAAGAGGGGCCTGAGGCCTGGCACTGCCTGGGCAAGCTTCCTGGGCCAGCAGTAGCACAGAAAGATCCACAGGTGGCGGGGAGATATAGGGGATGTTTGGGTGAAAGAGTGCTTTAGGCATTCTGAAGGTGGGCAACAAGCAGGGTCTGGAGTAGAGATCGGGGCCGATGCAATAGGAATGTAAGGCTGGGAGTCTCCTGTGAACCAAGGTGAAAGAAGAGGCAGCAGAATGGAAGGGAATAGAGTGGAGTCCCAGCCTCACATGACTTGGTTTCCCCTAGGAGCTGTTTGGCTTCTCAGGACCCATACTGTGGATGGCATAGTTCCAGAGGTTGTGTGGACATCAGGGGAACTGGTGGGTAAGTAAGGAGCCCCTGAATCTTCTGAGGATTACATTCCCTACCACTAAAAGAGGGCTAGGATGCAAGATGGGGACAAGGTGTAGAACTGTCCTGAGCCACTTCCTTTTCTTCCTAGGACTGATGTGGATCAGGTTGGCAACCAGGAATTCACAGAGCATGGCGAATGCCAAGGTAAAAAGCAGGGGTGGCAACAGCTGCAGCCAGAGGTGCACATGGTTCTGATAGCCAGACACGCCCCAGGCATGGGTTTTTGTCTTTCTTGCCTTCTGTGGCACAGTCATCTCCATCAGTTCTTCATGAAGCTTCCCTCTGACCCCATCTTTACCCTCTCTCTCTCCCATTTCATAGATGGAGCTACTGGAAGTCAGTCAGGCCCTGGGGATTCTGCTTATGGTGAGTCCTCTTGTCCCAGCTTCACCTTCCCTTACTTAGCCCACACACCCAGGTCTGTGTCCCATGGCAGCAGCAGACCAGTACCTGGACCTCACAAAAGGTCAGGACCCTCCTGACATCCAGCATATAAGCTCAGTACTTGGATACAGAAGGATGCTTAATAAGTGGCTTATGAACAAATAAATCAGAGAATGTCCTGCATGGTTAGCCCTTCCCCATGCCCAGACCAGAGTAGAGGCCGAAGTTCCGGCCTCTTGGATTCCACAGTGGGAGGGATCCCCTGGGTGGGTGTTGGGTGGAGAGCAGGAGCCTCACTGGCTCTGACCTGGTCTTTGTCGCCAGTGTTTCTGAGTCCTGGCCCTTCCCCTGAGACCCCCAGTCCCCCCAGTGATGCCCACCCCGGGCCCCAGTCTTCCACTCTTGGAGCTCACACTCAGGGTAAGGGGGTTAATTGGGAGGGACAGGAGTGAAGTGTGGGGCTGCTGACTCCTGGCGAGTTCTAAGCCTGGCACTGACTGGTGTTTGGTCTCTAATGCCTGTTTGGAGTCTCCCTTCCCAGATGCCCCACCTCCTTCTGCACGGACGGTTTGGCGGTTGTTCTTGGCATGGCTACAAGGGACCAGGACTGGGCTGGGGACTCCCCAGGCCCATGCTCTAGCCTGTGTGTGAGGGGCAGTGCTTTGGACTGCGTGTGTTGAGGGGTGAGGGGAGGGGAATCCCAAGGAAGGAAGGCCAAGGCCGCGGGAGTAAAGCCAAGCAGCAGGGGAGGTGGTAGAGGACCCTCCAGGCCTGGCACCACCCGTGCACCCCCTACCCTAGGCTGAGCCTCCCTCTTCCTCTGGGTTGGCAGGTGTGCGCCGGGACCTCCTCCCGGCCTCGGCTTCCCGCTCTGTCCCGATACCACTGCTCTTGGCCAGTGTAGCCGCAGCCTTCGCCCTGGGCGCCTCAGTCTCTGGCCTCCTGGTTTCCTGTGCTTGTCGCCGAGCCCACCGACGTCGGAGCAAAGACATCGAGACCCCGGGGCTCCCACGACCTCTCTCCCTCCGCAGTCTGGCCCGCCTGCACGGCGGCCCCGAGGCCCCGCCACCCTCCAAGGATGGGGAGGCCGCACAGACGCCGCAGCTCTACACCACCTTCCTGCCTCCCTCGGAGGGCGGGCCCCCGCCCGAGCTGGCCTGTCTGCCCACGCCGGAGTCCACCCCGGAACTGCCGGTCAAGCGCCTCCACGCCGCAGGAGGGCCCTGGGAATGGAACCAGAACGGCAATAACGCCAAGGAGGGCCCGGGCCGGGCGCGGGCGGGCCCGGCGGGCGGGTGCGCGCCGCGCGTGCTGGTGAGGCCGCCGCCGCCGGGCTGTCCTGGGCAGGCGGTGGAGGTGACCACGCTGGAGGAGCTGCTGCGCTACCTGCACGGCCCGCAGCCTCCTGGGCCGGGCGCCCAGCCCTCGGTCCCGGCCTCCGCGGCCTTCACCTCGCGGGCGCCCCCGCCGGAGCCCGGGCCGGGCCTGTTGGCCGACTGCAGTCCCCTCCCGCGCGAGTGCGCGCCGCCGCTGAGGCTGGACGTGCCCCCCGAGGGCAAGTGCACGGCCCCCTGCGCGCGGCCCGCGCTCTCCGCCCCGGCGCCCCGCCTCGGGGTGGCGGGGAGCCGTCGGCCGCCTTCCGCCCACCGTGCGCCCCCAGCCCTGCTCACCCGCGTCCCCTCAGGGGGCCCCGCCAGGTACTCCGGGGGGCCCGGGAGGCACCTCCTCTACCTGGGACGGCCGGAGGGCCACCGAGGCCGCGCTCTGAAGAGGGCGGACGTCGGGGCGCCGCAGTCGACTCTGAGGCCGCCCCTCCTCGGGCCGGCCGCTCGCCTGGCTGTGCCCGACGGCAGCCATTTTAACTTTTAAAGGAGCTGCTCCACCGCCTCACCGGGGCCCTTGAGGCCCAGGTCCTCGAGGGCGTGGGGGTGGACGCGTCTCCGAGGACAGGTCACCTCCGGCCTTCTGGACTCCGAGTCCCCGGGGTCTGGCCCCGGGCTTATTTATTGACTGTCTTTCCCCCAGTCCTCAAGAGGAGTGGGAGGCAGAAGCCGTCCCTCAGCGAGCCACATTCCGGGACTGGCAGACCTCCATCCCCTCTCCCTTCCAGCCAAGCTGCCTTAACTCGCCCTCGGGGCTGCTTCCACGGACCGAGCCCCGGGCGGGCGCGCGGACAGACGTGGCTGGGGCCACGCAGCGTCGTGCCGCGTCTCGGGCCTCCCGGGACTGGGACGTGCCTCCTCCTACTGTGTAGGAGCCTCCGCTCCCCAATACAGCTGTGTCCCTGAGCTGCTGCCTGACTACTCGCTGTGGGGCGGGCACGGGGCGTGGGGTCGGTCGGCTCCAGCGTGGGGCGCCTTCGCCCAGAACCTGCCTTCACCTGGCCTTGAGCTCTCCCCAGCAGCGGGAAGGCTGCGGCCCCACAGGGCCGGCCAGCCTGGTTTCCCGAAGGCGGCACGCGGAGGAATGGTGTGTGGGGACGAGCCAGGACCCAGGGGACGCGCCGCAGGGCCAGGGGGCTGGGGAAGCACGCGAGCACGTGCCTGGCTCGAGATCGGTTCTACGGGGCAGGGAGGAAATTTTGGAGGAATAAAATGAAGCTTCGGCGAGACTTGAGTTTTAGATCAGGAAATCTTGTCCCCAAGAGAATTGGGCTGAAAGAGGTTGGATCGCTTGAGGGGTAAAGCTGCGGGAAACAGCGAAGCACTCGGCCCGGCTGGAAGCAAAGGTTTCCTGGAGTGCTTCCCCTTCAGGTAGTGGCAGGGGTGGTCGCCAGGACGTGTTTCGTGGCGCGCATGCGTAGCGACGCTCCGGCCACGTGCCGCAGGAGTCCGCTCGCCCGCGCTGGGCCTGCGCGTGCGCACCGCGGTGTTCCCTTTTTCTGGCTGGTGTGGGTTGCAGATACCTGTTCATTACTCTGGGTACCAATGAGAGGGACGAATGCCCACCTGCCTCGCCCACACCTTGCGTTGAGGACAGTTAAGGCTTGTGCGGGTGGTGGCTGCTTTTGCGGATTTGCAAGTCAGGTTTTTCTTCCGCGCGTGGCCGCAGCGTCCGCCCGGTTTGCGCCCTAGTCCATTCCTGCCGGCGCCGCCTGGAGGCCGCACTCAGCCCTGCAGCCCCTGGAAGCCTCCCCGGTGGCTCACCGTTCGCCCCACTGCTGCTCTTTTGATTCGATCGGTACGGGATGTAACCCAGGGTGCTTGACCCCTGAGCCTCGTCCCCAGCCCCTTTTATTTTACTGAGAGACCGCGGTCTTCCCGCTGCAGCCGCTGGGGTTGCAGGCGTGCTCTGGCTTCGCTTGCTACCAAATGTTCGTGGCAGGAAACTTGGGAGAAGAGTCTCCTGGAGAGAGCGGAGCTTGCTTCTGCTTCCCGGTTTACTACTTGAGACCTCCGTTCTGCCCTAGGCCCCTGTTCCCTCCTCCCTGAGCACCAGGTGTGCCAGCGCTTCCGAAGAAGTCGGGGGATGGCTTCTTCATCATCCGCTCACGCTTAGGGTCTTCGAACCTTTGCGATCTGGTTTTTAACTGAGCAAGGCTTTCCCTTTGCATCCTCATAACTTCACTTGTACGTTTAGCCCTCAAGGTGGGTTTTTTTTTTTGGGGGGGGGATACCAGGGATTGAACTCGACCATTGAGTTACCTCCCCAGTCCTATTCTGTATTTAGAGACAGGATCTTACTGAGTTGCTTAGTGCCGGCGCTGTTCCTGAGGCTGGCTTAGGCTGACTTTGAACTCCCGAGCCGCTGGGATAACAGGCTTAACCTTCAAGGGTGTGTGTGTGTGTGTGTGTGTGTATGTACACCCAGGGCCTTGTGCATGCCAGGCAGGCACTCCACCAACTGAGCTATACCCCAGCACAGCCCTCAAGGTTTTGATATGTCCTCTGAGAGTGAGATATTCCTCATGACGCAGTTAGGCTTGTTTGGACAAATGTAGTTGTCCTCCAGAGTTTAACTTCTCGTGTGTGTGTGTGTGTGTGTGTGTGTGTGTGTGTGTGTGTGTGTGTTGGCGATGGATTCTGCCACTGAGCCACATCCCAGCCTCCCGATTTTTTAAATTTTTTGAGACAATTTCTTGCTAGGTTGCTGGGGCTAACCTCAAACTTACAAACCTCCTGCCTCAGCTTTCAGAGTTGCTGAGATTCCAGACGTTGACCACCCTGTGCCCTTTATGCTTGGTGTTGTTGCACCAGAGTGGAGTAATCTTTTAGGGCTCAGTTCTCCCCTTCTTGCATGCCTTACTTACGCCAAGATGCTTTGGGGCCATTGCTAGTGCCCTAGATATTGAGGAGAAAGGAATGGAGGATCTTTCCAGTTACCTTACTTCATTAACTTTCAAACCAAGATGTTAAAGAAAGGATGAAGAAAAAAAATGCGACTGTAGCCTTTGGAAGTTCTCAGAGGAACAAATTTCACAAATACAGTTCTTGCCCTGAAAGTGGTCATAAGCAAAAGGGATAAATGATCCTTAGGTTTAAATATAGTCCCAAAAGAGAAGTACAGCCATCCCTCTGTGTCCAGGGGGATTGGTTCCAGGACCTCCCTATATCAAAATATGGGGCTGGAGTTGTGGCTCAGTGGTAGAGCGTTCCTCTAGCTCATCTGAAGCACTGGGTTTGATCCTCAGCACCATATAAAATAAAGGTATTGTGTCCGTCTACAACTAAAAAAAATATTTTATTTATTTATTTAAAAAAATATTTTAAAAAATATGCAGATACTGAAGTATAAAATGGCATAGTATTTACATATAACTGCCACACAGCCTCCCTTATACTTTAAATCATCTTGACTACTTATTATACTTAGCACAGTGTAAATGGTTGTTAGGTAATAATGATAAGGAAAAAAAAAAGTCTCTACATGTTCAGTACAGAGGTAATTGCCCCTCAAACATTTTCATCCTGAAGTTGGTTGAATCTGTGTGTGTGGAACCAACCCATGGATATGGAGGGCCCACTGTACATATAATAGAAATTTAATCTTGTAACTGCAGATAGCAGCAACTTACAGGTTAAAGTCCTGGTTGTAGTTTAATTGTAAAAAATGTTCAGTTATTAGTATCTGTAAGAGTATGGTGACTTCTTTGCCAAGAGTGTCTAAGTTGAATTCTTACAGATAGTGGAAGGAACTTTGTTGCAGTGAGAGCAACAGTCCTGGGATTCTACCATTTGTTTTGTATGTGACCTTGGCAATTCAACAGCAGTTCAAAGCCTGTTTCTTTTGTAAGGAATGGAAAGAACATATGCCAATGGGGATTTGTAAAGCATCCTAAAAATACAGGTTTAAATTGTTTAGTGGGAAACAGTTATTTGCTCAAAATAAAGTAGGCCATTACCAAGTATGTGATTCATTAATACTCATGAGATACCTCTTTCTGACAGACAGTAGTGAGTAATAAATTAAGGGGATGAATTAAAAGAAATAATTATTGCTGACAAAGAGAGGTAAACATAGCCTCAATTAAGGAATCTGCTGATGGTTTTTAAAAATCAAAATATTATCTCAAACTTTGTCTTTAGAAAAACCAGAATGTACCATCAGGAGGATAGAGTCCTCATCCTTGGGGATTTCTAAGCTGATTTCTCAGAAGCATCCTGGGAGGTTATAGAGAAACCAGGGCCCCAGCAGGCAGTCCATCAGCTTATGTAAGGCTTTGGGGACCTGAAACTCAAAAGGTTCCATAGTCACAGAGCTCAGAAAGCTGTTTAGCATCTTGAGTTCTTTGGGGGCTAACTCACAGGGGCCTGAGCTATTATTGTCACTCAGATTTGTGGCTCCTTGATGCCACCACCACACAGGTGAGTCATTCTTTGCTACTTAATCCAGCAGTTGACCCTTTAGAGGCGTTGACTCCTAAGAATTTATGGTTATAAACTAGCTGGAATAGGGTCTTGCTAAATTGCTGAGGCTGGTTTTGAACATTGTTCCTCCTGTCTCAGCGTCTTCTTCTTTTTTTTTTTTTAAGAGAGAGAATTTTTTAAATATTTATTTCTTTTTTAGTTCTTGGCAGACACAACATCTTTGTTTGTATGTGGTGCTGAGGATCGAACCCCGGGCCGCACGCATGCCAGGCGAGCTCGCTACCGCTTGAGCCACATCCCCAGCCCCCTGTCTTAGCTTCTTGAGTTGCTGATTACAGATGTACATAACCACACCTGACAGAGGTCACATATGGTCTGCCTGCCTGCCTTTCTTCCTTTCCTTCCCTTCCTCCCTTCCTTTCTTTTTTGTATCAGGGATTTAACCCAGGGGTACTCAACCCAAGTTACATCCCCAGACCTTTTTATTTTGAAACAAGTTCTTGCTAAATTGCTCAGGGCCTCGCTAAATTGCTGAGGTTGGCTTTGAATTTGCAATTCTCCTGCCTCAGCCTCCCAAATCGCTGGGATTATAGGCATGTGCCACCATGCCCAACCTCTATTTTAATCTTCTATATTTTCTACCTATTGATCTCTTGGGAGTAGCAAACTCTCACAGAGAAAGAAAATCTTAGGGAATTTGCTCTAGTTCATGTTTTTTTTCCCATCATTTAAGAACATCATCCATCAGCTGGGTGCACTCCTGTAATCTCAGTGGCCCAGGAGGTCAAAGCAAGAGGATCCTGAGTTCAAAGCCAGCCTCAGCAATTTAATGAGGCTCTAAGCAACTTAGCCAGACCCTGTCTCAGAATAAAAAAAAAAGGGCTGAGGATGTGTGACTCAGGGGTTTAGAGCCCCTGGGTTCAACCTGTGGTACAAAATTAAAAAATCACCCATCAGAGAACTCTAGGTTCCTGTCTCTTCAATTCCCTTCAACCTCCCTTCCTGTCTTCCTGATGATATCACTCACCAGGATTTTAATTTGAAACTACTCTTAGTTATTTGCTTCTCAAGGCTCTTCAAGTTCCTGTTCTTTTTCCTTCAGCACAGCAAAGACCTTATGTACATTTATGAGGCACTTGTCAGAAGGAAATCATAATCAACATATGCACAGTATTTGTTGACTATACGTATTTACCAAAAGCCAATTATCACCACGTAGCCTAGCATATGCAGGTGTTCAATTTCCTAAATACCGACTTTGAGAGTTTGCCTGGAGATTCTAGTTGTTGAATGCAAATGTTAGCATGTCCTTGAATTTGGTATCATCCTCCTTTTAAAAAGAAAGGTAACCTGATTGCCATTGGAGTGACACTTGAGAGCCCTATACACTACATGGGGACACCTGTTAGCTAGCCAAATAGTTTTGTTCTACTGTGGCTATCAATGGGGCTTGAGCTACTATTACCAGACTGTTCCTTGTATTTACCTAGTAAATGTGTGCTCCTTAGGACTGAGGCAGCAAACACAGGAAACAACAGAAGCTGAGAAGCCAGTAGAGCAAACACACTCTTTCCAAGCCTCCCTGAGCCTATAGTTTTTTCCCCCTACTTCTCAGTATTGACTCCCACACAAGACACAGAATAATTTCCTTTAGCTCCTATTCTCCCCTCTTGGTAGTTTGCTTTTAGAGAAAGGGTTGAGGGAAAAGTGGAGGAAGGAAAAATGTACATTTAACAGGCCAGTCAAAAGCTTTCTTCTTTTTCATTTCACTTCTTGCCTTGAGTTGCTCAGCCTGTCAAGAACACCAGGCTGAGACAGATAGCTAGTTATGGGTATCAACAGGATCAGAGACTAGATATAATTTTTGCCTAAGACATTAAAAAAAAAAAACTATTCAATGATACTCAAAATGGTAAGACTTTGACATTTTATTAAGAAACATCTTTATTTTAAATGATAGTACAAAAATTGTATATATAATATAGATCTGTATAGGTATGTATATATATATATACACATAAATGCTCATACACACAGACATACAGACTTCCTCATCAGCATCAAACGCTATCCTAAATTTAAAAAAGTAGGATATTTAAGTTTTCCTAAAAACATGCTGTACATAAAGCTGTCAGACAACCTGAAAAACTGAGGACATTGTGAACAGAATGTAGGGGCACTCCTCCCTGCTACCCCCCACCAAATGGCCTTGGCAGAAGGAAAGCATGTGGGGCAAAGCCAGGAAAGAGTTGCTACCATCATTATTGATAGAGCAACATGCCTGAAACCAACTGGGAAAGCACAGTTAAATAGAGGGTGTGACCTAGATTAATTATCAGAAACAAACTGCATCAGAATAAATAAAATTTATGTGGTAGGGAGGGGAGTGGAGAGAGAAAAGATAAGGAGGCCCAAGGATTTAAAATGACCTACTAATTAAGTTCTAGAGCCTTAGAAAGACTTAATGAGATAAAAACAATGAATCACAAAAGCAGAAGCAGTAGAGTGGGGGCAGAGGAAGGGAGAGAGAGAGATAGATAGGGAATCACAATTTCCTGCTATTAACAAACCAAATTGGTACTGTAAGAGTCTAGGAATGTCACTCTATTCCCTACTCCTAGAGAGGTTAAATTTTTTTTTTTTTAAATTAAAAAGGGTTGCACCAGGGGCTCAAAGTTATTTAATTCTAATTCATGCCCTTCTTGTTCCTGCTGTCTTGTTAAATAAATTGGCATAGGAAATAAGTACTAACTCAGAAGGGGGAAAGAATCATCACATAAAATGGAGATGGACAGAAGCCTAGAGTACATACGTACAGGTGGGCTTGATATGCATTCCATTTTAAAGTACCTTTCCCAGTCATCCAGAGATGGGTCTGGTCAGGAGTGGAGAATAGGAAGCCATTCTCTAATAATTAGGACAAAAACTGATTCCCGGTCATTATTAAACTTCTAGGAGGAGTTCATTACATGCCTCAGGTCTTCTAGCTCTGGAGGTCCCTAATGTTAGGAAAGAGCCACACAAACTTTCTCAAAATGAAAATCATTTCTCAAAATAAGATTTCTAAACTAGGAAAATGGATGTAGGGAATATCTTCCTTCTGCCATGCTGCCTTGGCTCTCTATCTGGTGAGGTTTTCCCCACTGAGGGATGAGATTTTATAAATGTCAGTCAAAACAGCTTCCACAAGAGCGAAAGGAGGCCTGTCTGGTGAAGGGGCAGCTCCATTTCTGTCCCTACTCAGCTCTGAAACTTTCACATACACGATGTCATCACACTGTCTGCTGAACAAATTCCCCACCCTTCTGGTTTCTCTTTTTGCCTGTTAAAGCATATCTCTCAGAAGCAAGCAAAGTAATGCTTTCTCTTCCTCCATGCATTCACTGAACCCAAAGAAACCCTATGTGTTTAATGAATAAAAAGTTTTCCAGGTTACACCTGGTGCTTTAGAGCAGAACCTCAAATAAACAAAGAGAAAATGGGAAAATACATATTTATAAACACACACTAACGTATACCAGCAAAGGGGTTCAGAAACTATCCTCATCATACAATACCCAACTTCAAATGGAAGGACCTCTGAGATATTAATTTCTTTTACATTAATATAAAGAAAGAAAAATCATTTTGTATGCAGAGATTTCTAGCATCACAAAGCAAGCAAAAATTTTAATTATGCAATAGTAAGGCTGAAGAACAAAGAATGCAAAGTAAATAGCTAAATGTATATCTGACAAGAGGAAAAAAAACATCTTTAAGGACTGAGTTCAAAACACAGAAAATCCTAAAGCCATGTTTTTCAGTATTTCAATCAAGGGATCTCAACTCTGGCATTACAATTAAGAGATCCCACAGAGGTAGTAGTGGGAAGCAAAATGAATATTTATATGTTTATAATTAATCTCCCTGAAGCTAGGAACAAGAACATTAGTTTTACAATTCTTTCTCTTTCTTTGGGAAAAGGTTTAAGACCAAAATGCAAATGTAGGTTCTAAAATTCTTGACTTTAATACTGATACAATTAAAGCAGCTTCATTTTAATGTAGAGAACTATCCTAAACTCCAAGTTTCTCCTGCTCAAGGACCAACTCTGAACCACCTTACTTCTCAATAATCCAACCTTGCCAGTAAACTAATTGTAATCCCCTAACTCGGAAGACCTAACCCACATTTTCCTAAGTTCCATAACTGACCCAGAAAGATATGAAAAATCCAGACATGGTATTGTAGTACTGCATTCAATGCCTAATTTCTAATTACTACAAAGCATCCTGAGCTACCATTCTCTTCATGGCAATATAACTGTAGACCAAATCCTATTTCCCCTCTAGGGCATGCTAAAAGGTCTATTCCAAGTAAATAAAAATTAACACCTTTTTCCTCTCCACCCCTTTACAGACATTTCCCTTCTTTCACTCCCTACTCCAGCCTCTCCAATAAGAAACCCCTGTCAGAGATCATCATCATTTAAAATGACCTGTCTGTATTAGAGACTTTGGGAGAGGAGTGGAAGGTATATTCCTCAGAAAGAGTAATAAGAATTCCTAAACAGTTCCCCCCCGAAAGTGGGACTCTATGCTCAGAAAAGAGTGCTAAGTGGATATTCCCTACTACCAATCAGTAAATAGCCCAGAGAACGAAGTAAAGTTTCAATTTAAATAATTTTTTTTCAGTACTTGGAATTGAATCCAGGGGTGCTCTATCACTGAGCTATACCCTCTGACCTTTTTAATTTTTTAAATTTTGAGACAGGTTCTTATTAAATTCCCCAGGCTGGCCTCAAGCTTGTGATCCCACTGCCTCAGTCTCCCCAGTTGCTGGGATTAAAGATATGTGCCACCACAACTGACTGGGTTTAGATAATTTTTGCAGCTAACCTCTACTCCCTCAATGGGAGGAACAGCACCAAAACATAAACAAAAGACATCTAAAATGGTACTTGGTCCCTCTATACTTACTTAAGCTAAGGCTCTGAAATGCCATACAGCAGTTTATTGTTAGCACCTGGTTCCCAAAAGGACTCAGAAAAAAAAAGAAAAACATGCAAACAGGACAAGGATGATATGACAGTAGATACTAAAATTTCATCCTTAACTTTACCTAGGCTTCTCCACTTCAAATCCCTGTCATCCCCAACAGCCGAGAATAATCTGTGATCATCTAGGAAGTGCTAGGTACAAAGATACATGGAGAAAACCTAGCTATTGGCCAATACCCAAGGTTAATTTCAAAACTGGTATTTTGCTTATAAATATCTAATAGCCAATTCTGTTTTTTAAATTTAGTTTGGGGAATTATATTTTCAGTCTATTTTGAGCTCAAAATGATTCTGCATCTTCAGAACACTGTAGCAATTTACTTTACTAATAATCAAGGTAAACAGAACCATGTTAACTGTCAAGTTTTTTTCCAAATTAAAAATGCATGTTTTTCCCATGATCACTAATTGAGAAAACCATATTCTAAACAGTCATTCAAATGTTTACTTGGCATATCTCCCTCTGGTTTCTTCTTCTAATTTACAATAAAGCAAGCAAGTCTAGAATAATGAGAGCCCAATTTCAAAGGCAATAACCTCTGCAATGTAACCTCTCCATAACCTCTCCCTCCCTCTTTCTTCCTCCCTCCCTTTCTCTCTCTCCATCCATACACCCTCTTTTTTTTTTTTTTTTTTTTAAATACTGGGGATTGAACTCAGGGGCACTTAGCCACTGAGCCACATCCCCAGCCCTATTTTGTATTTTATTAGAGACAGGGTCTCACTGAGTTGCTTAGTGCCTCGCAGTTGCTGAGGCTGGCTTTGAATTTGTGATTCTCCTGTCTCAGCCTCCCAAGCCGCTGGGATTATAGGCATGCGCCACCACACCATCCTTTTTCTTTTGAAAAAAAAAAACTTCATGATGACACACAAAGAAAACCCAGCAATGAAACACTTTCCAAAGTCTCTGAGCAGTGGGAGCAGGCATAGTGGGAGAAAAGAGAGGAAAGTAAACAAGCCAGAATCTTTGGTTCCGTAATTTATGGCACTGATAGTTATTCCCTTGTCAGCATACACTGAACACCTGTAAGGCACAAAGCTCTGTAGCAGGTCCAGGCTTACAAAAACAGAGCAGTTGACTCATCCTAAATCAAATGGAAACAAACTATACATCATCAGCATTGCTCTTTGCCACCCTCCTTTGTTTTGCACTTAAGAGGACATAAGCTCCACAGAAAAGCAAATGTGTCCTAAGTGACACAAATTCAACAAAGTTTTATAAAATTAAAGAGTCTGAACCTGATATTACATAAATAATGTTTGGAAGCAAGTTGTATGGACAACAGATTACGATCCTGATTGCAATTTTATAAAATCCAGCCAGTGCAAAGTTAGTATCCCAAGACAAGAGTTCCATAACCCTGTCAGCCTCTTTTAGGCCACCTACCAGCACTCAAAATACAGACTGGGGAATTCAGGTATTATGTAAACTTCTACACATACAAGTTTCCTTTCCAGTTTTTAAAAATTCAATTTCAGTTTCATTCTTTTTTTCTCATCCTTTCTTTGTGGTGCTAGGGATGAACCCAGGACTTGGGGCATGCTAGGGACCTATTCTACCACTGAGCTACATCTATATCCCCAGCAGTTTCAATTTCTTATACTGGCATCTGAGCTATGGACACAGATTTATCAAGCAATTAAAAAATTTTTTTTCTAGTGATATTAACTCAGGATAGATGGGAGTGCCTGCTCCTTTGGAAGTGGAATATATTCCTTTCCTCTTCCCCAAAGCTTGCTTCTAAATTCCCTCCTAATTAGTTTTATAAATTTAAGGCAAATTTTCAGGTCACTTGATGGTATAATTACTAAAGGCTTTTGGTGTATATGCACTAGGAGTATTATCTTAAAATCTTTTGATACAAAGTCAGTTATTAAAAAAAAAATCAACACACAACATCTATCACCTTTACCTGTATGCTTAAAGCAACAATGTGAGCTGAGAAACTTGGTCCTTATTCTCTCTTGGCTCCCCAGGAGAAGCATTCCCTAAATACAGCTCCGAATTTTCCAGTTGCATACAGTTTTCCTGGGCCCAAGCATTGTACCCTGCTATAGTTTTCTTGTTAAGGACATCCTTAATTTTAATACAATGTTTGTGCTCTGTATTTTCTTCTTAAAAGGTGAACACAGGGCAAGTTGTGGCCCTTATATGTTAAGATGAAACAGTTTCCATGGAAACTCCAGTATGAGGCTCTGTGGTCCCCCCTGACCTAGACACTTGTGTTTCTCTTTCTTCCACCTCCCCCTCTGTGACTACTACGGCATCTACCTCAGCTACCTCTTCCACCATGGTGAACTCAACTCCATTGGGCTGCTGCCGGGCCATAGCCTCCAGTTTGAGGCGGTACTGTTCTGCCTCCTGCTCTTTCTTTAGGAGCTGGTGTCGATATTCCTGAGCTCTCCGATTGGCCTCCTGGAGTTGCTGCTGTAGTAACTCTCTTTCTCTGCCTTCCTGTAAAGTAAACCATATCACCACCAGGTAAGAATTCCAGATCACAGATTACCAGAAAGTAGACAAAAAGATGAAGAAGCATTCAGGCTTCAATATTACACCTTCTGATTCTTTCCTTTTTCTTCTCTCCATCATGGCTAAAAATCACATTACCTCGCCTTCCTCCACACTGTTTGCCATCTCTTCTATCCTTGGTTTCTTTGCCAGTGGCAACTTCTCTACTTCTTCTTCCTCTTCAATTACAGTCTCTTCTGCAACCTGACCAGCAGGTACAGTTAGAACTATAAGCCAAAGAACACCAATTGGAGGGGATGAATACACAGTAAAACAAAGAGGCTTTGCTTGCTTTTTTGTACCATTTTTTTTTTTTTTTGTATTGAATATTGAACTCAGGGGTGTTCAACCACTGAGTCACATCCCAGCCCTTTTTATTTTTTATTTTGAGACAAGGTCTCACTAGGTTGCTTACAGCCTCACTAAGTTGTTGAGGCTGTATTTGAACCTGCAATCAGGCTCCTGCCTCTGCCTCCTGAGAGCCACTGGGATTATAGGTGTGTGCCACCACACCCAGCAGGTTTTGCTTCCTTTTAACTAGAAAATAAAGTGAAATACATTCTTTGACATATTGTTTTTCATATCTCTTTAGATTTAGAATCAAAAGATAAGGCATGGCCCTGCAGAGAGAAACAGGATTAAGGAAGGACTAAGCAAGGTTCAGGAAGGTATAGATTTTTAAGCCCAGAAACCACACAGGTAAATCCCAGGTTTGAGGCTCTTACATAAAGAGATTTGACTCCAGCAGGGTGCAGTGGCACAGGCCTGTAATCCCAGTAGCTCAGGAGGCTGAGGCAAGAGGATCGCAAGTTCAAAGCCAGCTCAGCAACTCAGTGAGTCCCTAGGCATCTAAGTGAGACATAGTTTCTAAATAAAATATAAAAAAGGCTGGAGAAGTGCTCAGTGGTTGAACACTCTGGGGTTAAATCTTTGGTAGGAAAAAAAAAGATATTTGACTCTAGTTTAGTAGCTATGACCATCCAGTTTATGATTTCTGTGGGAATAATCTGTTAAAGAAGGCCAGGATGCTGGTAGTATAGCTCAGGGATAAAACATACACTCAGTATGCATGAGACACCCTGGGTTCAGTCTCCAGAACCATTAAAAATTAAAAAAAAAAAGTCAGAAATCCTTATATACAATTATTGAGAAACTTCTTTTTTAAAAAAATATTGATTTTTTAGTTGTAGTTGAACACAATATCTTTATTTTTATGTGGTGCTGAGGATCAAACCCAGGGCCTCGAATGTGCTAGGTGAGTGCTCTACCGCTGAGCCAAAATGCCAGCCCCAGAAACTTCTAATGAAAGCAATTCACCATTATACCTAAAATAGTTATTTCTCTTCCCATAGATAAGTGAGAGAAAAGTTGACATGCATAAAACATACAATGCTTTACATACCTATAAGAATGGCTAAAATTAAAAATGCGATAATACCAAATACTAGAGAATGTAGGGAACTAGGTTGTTCATAAATTGCTAGCAGGGATGTAAATGTCACACCTAGAAAATAACTGGCAGTTTCTTACAAAACTAAGTATGTACTTACCATATGACCCAACAATTACACTCTTGGGCATTTACTCCCCCAATTTGAGAATTTATGTCTTATAAGAACTCGTATGAGAATTGGGCTTGATGGCAGCATGCTTGTAATCCCAGCTGCTCCAGACGCTGAGACAAAGAATCACAACTTCAACATCAACCTCAACAATTTAGCAGGCTATTCAGTGAGCCCCTGGCTCAAAATAAAAAAATAATAAGGGCTCATCAATGGTAAATTGCCTCTGGGATAAATACCTAGTACCAAGGGGGAAAAAAAATCTGTACATGATTACTCATAAAAGCATTATTCTTTGATAGCTGAAAACTGAAAAGTATTTTCAAGTATCCTCAACAGGTAATAATATGGATGTACCACAATATAATAGCATGGGTATACCATAGCACAGTATGGATGTACCATGATATGTATTGTACTCAGCAATAAAAAGGAATAAACTATTGATACAAACAACATGGATGGATCTTTTTTTTTTTTTAGAGAGAGAGAGAGAATCTTAATATTTATTTATTTTTTTTAGTTTTCGGCAGACACAACATCTTTGTTTGTATGTGGTGCTGAGGATCGAACCCGGGCCGCACGCATAGCAGGCAAGCGCGCTACCACTTGAGCCACATCCCCAGCCCATGGATGGATCTTAAAAAAATTAATTATACTGGGAGTAAAAAGGCAATCTCAAAAGGTTACGTATTACATGATTCTATTTATTTAAATGTGTGTGTGTGTGCGTGTGTGTGTGTGTGAGAGAGACATCACATATGCTGGGCAAATACTCTATCACTGAGCTGCATCCCCAAGCCAATTTATATAACTTTTTATTTTTATTTTTTGGTGGTGCTAGGGATCAAACCCAGGGCCTCATACATGCTAGACAAGCACCTTACTACTGGGTTATATGAGCTATGAGCTATATCCCAAGCCCTATAACTTTTTTTTTTTTTTGGTACTGGGTATTGAGTCCAGGAGTATTTCACCACTGAGTTATATACCAACCCTTTTTATTTTGAGACAAGGTCTAGATAAGTCACTGAGGGTCTCATTAAGTTGCTGAGGCTGGCCTTGAACTTGCCATTCTCCTGCCTTGGCCTCCCTAGGATTATAGCTGTTACCACCACATTGGGTTATTGAAAAGACAAAAAATCATAGAGAGAGAATAGATTAGTTAGTGGTTGCTAAGGGTTAGAACAGAATGGGAAGGGAGGTGGCTGTGGATATAAGGGTATCAGAGGGATCCAGTGATGGAACTGTACTATACCTTCACTCTGGTGGCTCTTGTACAAATCTACACATATATTAAAATCACACAGAACTAAGTGCACATACATATACAAGAGTGCATGTAAAACTGGAAAGGTTAGTGAATTATAACAATATCAACTTTCTTGGAGCTGGGGTTATGACTCAGTGGTAAAGTCCTCACCTAGCCCGTGCGAGGCCCTGGGTTCAATCCTTGGCACCATATAAAAGTAAATAAAATAAAGGTATTATGTCCATCTACAACTAAAAAATAATTTTAAAATATCAACTTTCTTGTGAAATTATACTATAGTTAGGCAAACTGATACCATTGAAGAGAAACTCATTGAGGATATAGATTTGTCCACAGTATTTTTTAGAATGGTACATGAATCTTATGATGGTTTCAAAATAAAAAGTTATTTTTATTTATTTATTTTTTTTTTAAAAGAGAGAGAGAGAATTTTTAATATTTATTTTTTAGTTTTCGGCAGACACAACATCTTTGTTTGTATGTGGTGCTGAGGATCGAACCTGGGCCGCACACATGCCAGGCGAGCTCGCTACCGCTTGAGCCCCATCCCCAATCCCAAAAGTTATTTTTAAATAACTTTTATAACTCAAAATAATTTTTTGGGGGGCCAGGTGCATTGGCACATGCCTATCTCAGCGATTTAGGAGGCTGAGGCAAGAGGATCACAACCTCATAGCCAGCCTCAGCAACTTAGCAGGGACCTAAACAATTTAGTAAGACCCTATCTTAAAATAAAATATAAAAAGGGCTGGTGATGTCGCCCAGTGACTAGTGAGCAACATGGGTTCAATCGATGGGCTCAATCACTAATACCAAAAAAAAAAACCACCTTTTTTTTTTTTTTGGTACTGGACATTGAACTCACGTGTGCTTTACCACTAAGTTACAACCCCAACCTTCTTTATTTAGCTATTTTTTTTTTTAATACCTGATTGAACTCAGGGGCACTTAACTACTGAGTCATATCCCCAGCCCCCCTTTTTTTTTAAATTTATTATTTTGAAACAGGGCCTTGCTAAGTTGCTTAGAGCCTTGCTAAACTGCTAAGGCTGTTTTTTTTTTTTATATTTATTTTTTAGTTGTAGTTGGACCTAATACCTTTACTTATATATTTATTTTTATGTGGTGCTGAGGATAGAACCCAGGGCCTCACACGTGCTAGGTGAGCACCTTACCACTGAGCCACAACCCCAGTCCCCCCACCCCACTAAGGCTGTTTTGAACTTGTAATCCTCCTGCCTCCCTCAGCATCCCAAGTTACTGGAATTACTGGAGTGTGCCAACATGCTCAGCAGTCTTTTGTATTTTTTTGAGACAGGATCTATCTAAATTGCTGTGGGTAGTGGTTGCAGTTATAGCTCAGTAGTACAGTGCTTGTCTAGTACCTCTGAGGCACTAGGTTTGATCCTCAGCACCACATAAAAATAAATAAAATAAAGTTACTGTGTCCATCTACAAATTTAAAATTTTAAATAAATAAATACATTGCTGAGGGTCTTGCTAAGTTGCTGAGGCTGGCTTCAAACTTGTGCTCCTCCTGTCTTAGCCTTTCAAATTGCTGAGATTACAAATATGTGCCACATGCCTGACTTTATTTTGTCTAACTATATGTAAGGCACCAATATTAAAAAAAAAGAGTTTAAAAAAAAAAACCTTAATAACTACATTCACAAAACACTAGTATACTAGTATTGTATAAATAAGAATTCATGATATCACGGGGCACAAGGTTCTCAGCTACTCTGGAGGCTGAGGCAGGAAGAATTCAAGTTCAAGGCCAGCCTCAGCAACTTAGCTAGACCTTGTCTTAAAAGTTATTAAAAAAGGGGCTAGGGATGTAGTTCTATAGTAGAGTGCTTGCATAGCATTGTGTGGGGCCCTAGGTTCAGTTCCCAGTACTGCAAAAAAATTTTTAAAAAAGAACTTATATCAAAATTTGAATTATAAAGGTTTAATTCCTATGCTATCTTCCTATAATACAGAGATCCAACAATTCAAATAATTTGAAAATTTTAAAATCCCCAAAATCATTTAGACCAAGTCAAAATTTTGGTGACAATAAAGGCAATTATACGAAGGCTGTGCTTTTCAACTTCCAATATTTTTAAGAAATGTAGTTGTAATGATTGGCTTCTTTTTCTTTCAAAGAAAATTTTTTTCAGTGCTGGAAATCAAATCCATTGCCACACACACATGCTAGGCAAGTGCTCTACCACTGAGCAATATCCTCAGCCCTTTTTATTTTATTTTGAGACAGGGTTAGGCTACCCTCAAACTTGAAATACTCCTATCTCAGCCTCCTGAGTACTTGGGATTATAGGCATGTATCACCACACCTGGCCAAAAATGATTTTTTTTTTTTTTGCATTGCTGGGTATCAAACCCAGGGAAAAAGTAATTTTTTAATATGGCTGTTTAATTTTTTTAAAGAGACAGAGGTCTCACTATGTTGCCTACGCTGACCTCAAACTGACCACAATCTTTCTGCTTCAGCCTATTAAGTAGTTAGGACTTCAGGTGGAGGCCACAGTGTTCAGATTTCAAAAAAAATTTAGGGCTAGGGGTACAGATGTATGGTAGAGCACTTGCCTGAGCTGCATGAGGCCCTGGGTTCAATGCCCAGCACCACCAAAAAATAAAATTAAAAAAACAAAAGAGCCAGACACAGTGGTGCACACAGTAATCCCAGCAACTGGGGAGGCTGAGGCAGGAGGATAGCAAATTCAAAGCTAGCCTTAGCAATTGAGTGAGATCTTATTTAAAAAAAATAAATATAAAAAGGGCTGCAGATGTAACTCTGTGGTTGAGGGCCCCTGGATTCAACCCCCAGTACCAAAAATATTTTTTTAATTAAAAAAAATAAAAGTTATAGAAACATGTTGAAAACTTCTACCCATCCCCAGCTATCCAGTAATCCTTCCCAGAAGGAAGCAATTTCTTTGACTTTAATTATTTATTTTTCACCCTTGGGAAGCAATTTCCTTCCAGAGGCATTCTAAGTCTAAATTTACATATATTTCCCCATTTGAAAATACAAAAATAGCACACTCTACACACTATCCTAAATCTTATACTTATTACTTGACAGTGGTGTATGCGTGTGTGTATATGTGGTACTTTGGACTGAACCCAAGGCCTTAAGGATACTAGGCAAGCACTTTTCCATTGAGCTACATTCCAAGATCTTTTATTTTGAGACAGGCTCTCACTAAATTGCAAGGGCTGGCCTTGAACCTGTAATCCTCTTGCCTCAGCCTCCTAAGTGGCTGGGATTATAGGCATGCACCTATTAGGCTCCTTTTAATGTTTAACAATTACAAATAATGCTGTAATGCATAACAGTATATAAGTTATTTCTGTGCATTTAAATATAAATTAATAGAAAAATAACTGCTTAATCAAAAGGTATATGCATTTTTTTGGGGGGGGCATAACTGGGGATTGAACCCAGGGATACTTTACCACTGAGCTACATCCCCAGCCCTTTTTAATTTTTCAGTTTGAGACAGGTGGCCCGGATTACAGGCATGTACCATTGTGTACTGCTTGCATCTTTAATTCTGATAGATACTGCTAATTTGCTCTTTAGAGGATAGATTAATGCAAAATCTTACAAGTGATTTACAAGAGTGCCTGTTTGTCTATACTCTTGATAGTTTAGTGTTATCATGGGATCTCAGTACAATATTTCTTTGCATTTCTTGTTATCAGTGAAGCAGGTTGAACATTTTCACGTTTTTTTTTTGTTTACTTTTTTTTTAGTTGTCAATGAACCTTTACCTTATTTATTTATATGCAGTGTTGAGAATCAAACCCAGTGCCTCACATATGCTAGACAAGCGCTCTACCACTGAGACACAACCCCAGCCCCCATTTTCTTTTTTTTAATTTTAATTTTTTTATTTATATATGACGGCAGAATGCATAATTCTTATTACATAGAGAGCACAATTTTTCATATCTCTGGTTGTATACATAGTATACTCACAACAATTCGTGTCTTCATACCTGTACTTTGAATAATAATTATCATCACATTCTACCATCATTAATTACCCCATGCCCCTTCCCTTCCCCTCCCACCCCTCTGCCCTATCTAGAGTTCATCTGTTCCTCCCATGCTCCTGCTCCCTATCCCACTATGAATCAGCCTCCTTATATCAGAGAAGACATTCGGCATTTGGTTTTTTAGGATTGGCTAACATCACTTGGCATTATACCCTCCAACTCCATCCATTTGCCTGCAAATGCCATGATTTTATTCTCTTTTATTGCTGAGTAATATCCCATTGTGTATATATGCCACATTATTTTTATCCATTCATCTACTGAGGGGCATCTAGGTTGGTACCACAGTTTAGCTATTGTGAATTGTGCTGCTATAAACATTGATGTGTCTGTGTCCTTGTAGTATGTTGTTTTTAAGTCCTTTGGGTATAGACCGAGAAGAAAGACAGCTGGATCAAATGGTGGTTCCATTCCCAATTTCCCAAGTAATCTTCATACTGCTTTCCCTATTAGATGCACCAATTTGCAGTCCCACCAGCAGTGTGTAAGTGTGCCTCCTACCCACCCCCCCCATCCTCGCCAACACTTATTGTGGTTTGTATTCATAATAGCTGCCATTCTGACTGGAGTGAGATGAAATCTTAGAGTGGTTTTAATTTGCGTTTCTCTAATTGCTAGTGATGATGAACATTTTTTCATATATTTGTTGATTGATTGTACATCATCTTTTTTTTTTTTTTAAATATTTATTTTTTAGTTTTTGGCCGACACAACATCCCTGTTGGTATGTGGTGCTGAGGATCGAACCCGGGTCGCACGCATACCAGGCGAGCGCGCTACCGCTTGAGCCACATCCCCAGCCCTGATTGTACATCATCTTCTGAGAAGTGTCTGTTCAGGTCCTTGGCCCATTTATTGATTGGGTTATTTGTTTTTTTGGTGTTTAGCTTTTTGAGTTCTTTATATACCCTAGTGATTAGTGCTCTGTCTGATGTGTGAGAGGCAAAGATTTGCTCCCAAGATGTGGCTCTCTATTCACCTCACAGATTGTTCGTTTTCCCAGCCCCCATTTTCATGTTTTTAAACGAGGCATCAGTATTTTCTGTGAACTACTAGTTCACACTATTTGATCTTTTAATTTTTTTTTCAATATTTTTTTAGTTGTGGATGGACACAGTATGTTCATTTATTTATTTTATGTGGTGCTGAGGATCGAACCCAGTGGTTCTGCCACTGAGCCACAACCCCAATCCTGATCTTTTATTAATTTTTTAAGAAATATTTTTAAGTTATACATGGACACAAAATCTTCATTTTGTTTATTTTTATTATCAAAAATGTGTTTTTGTTTATAAATTGGTGCTGAAGATGGAACCTTCACATGTGTGAAGCAAGTGCTCTGCCACTGAACCACAACTCCAGCCCTCTTTGATCTTTTTTCTATTACTGTATCAGATCATTGGTTTTTACTGACAAATTTTGTATATATTAGAGGAATTAGTTTTTTCTGTTTCTTTTTCTTCTTCAAAGCTTGTTTGTTTCATCTTTTATCTAGTATTCTTCCATTTCCACTATTTGTCTTAATGCCTCCATTTTAGGGGAGTGTGGTGTGGAGTGTCTAGAATATCTTTTTGTTTTTTTTGTACCAGGGATTAAACCCAGGGGTGCTTAGCCACTGAGCTATATCCCAACCCTTCTTATGTTTTGTTTTATTTTGAGACAGGGTCTAGGTAAGTTGCTTACAGCCTTGATAAGTTGCTGAAGCTGCCTTTTTTTGAGATCCTCCTGCCTCATCTTCCAGAGCTGTTGGGATTACAGGCCGTGTGCCACCATACTCAGCTAAAATATCTTTTAATAATCAGAGATAACTCACCTTGCTGTCCATCTTGCATAGTTACAATAAATGGCTGGCCAATGGCTCCAGTAGGGATTGCAGTTTGGATATTACCCAAAGGGACTCCATCAGTTACTATGGTGATGACTCTCTGGCCTCCACTCCCCACCACTTGCTGGATTGATGAGTCAACAGAATTTCCCTGCACGATTTCCTCTGAATTGGCTAGAAATAATAAAAGTAAAATTTCAGCTTTTTCAAAACAGGAGTGTAACAATTTCATCCTCCTTGAAACTGATATTATTAAGGGAGAGAGAAAACTGCAAAAGAAAAAAAGTTAGGCTGGGCTCAATGATCATAGAAGTTTTTGTGTATAATGTGAAGTCAGAGGAGAAAAGAAAATAGAGAATGCACTAGAATATTTTTTTTTGGGGGGGGGTATTGTGAATTGAACCCAGGGGGCTTTACCACTGAGCTACATCTCCAGCCCCCACCCCACATCCCTGCTTTTTAAAATATGGTACTGAGGATTGAACCCAGTGCCTCACACATGCTTAGGCAAGTGCTTTTACCACTGAGCCACAACCTCAGCACCCCATCCCTTTTTATTTTGAAATAGAATCTCACTAAGTTGCTTAGGGCCTTGATAAATTGCTGAGGCTGGCCTTGAACTTGAGATCCTCCTGCCTCAGTCTCCTGTGTTGCTGGGGTTACAGTTATGGGCCATGGAATATGGTTTAAAAAAGTATTTTCTACAGTGTTTTTATTAAGTTTATTAGTAGCTTTCAATAAAGATGATTTCTATGTATAAAATGTTAATATGTTTAAACTTTTTTGTTTATTTTGTACTAAGTATCAGAGGCTTCAATAGGCTAATGAGCATTGTGATTTTCCTATAGTGTATAAATTATGGTGATTTTAACCAATATATTTGGAATACATTTTTTTTTTTCCTTCTCTGTTTTCTTTTTTACACTGGGGATTGAACCCAGAGGTACTTTACCAATAAGCAACATCCCTAGCCCATTTTGTTTTTTATTTAAGACAGGATTTTACTAAGTTGCCAACCCTGATCTTGAACTTGCAATCTTCCTGACTCACCCTGCTGGGTCATTGTGCCAGGCTTAGAACCTTTTTTTTTGTTTGTTTCTCTATACAGTGACTCAAACTCAGAAGTGCTCTGCCACTGAGCTATATCTCCAGCTTTTATTTTGAGATAGGGTCTCGCTAAGTAACCTTGAATTTGTGATCCTCCTGAGCTGCCAATAATATACATGTGGGCCTCTTTAGTCTCCTGAGTTGCTAGGAATATAGGTATGGTCCACTGCAACCGACTCTTGGAACCCTTTTTTAGTGAGAATTTTTTTTTCTTTTCTTTTGGTTGTACTAGAGATTAGGGCCTGCACATGCTAGGATTGTGCTCCTCCACTTAGCTACATCAACAGCCCTTTGTGAGCATAAGTAGTCAAAGTATTGAAGATAGTAAACAAACTGAATGACAGGTATTTTCTCCCATCTGATATATCAACAAGAGCTAACATTTACTACTACTTTATGTGCCAGCTACCAGTCTAAGAGTTTTACATGAGTTATGTTGAATCAAGATTTTCAGTCTTAGCAGGACATAGTGGTTGGTGTACACCTGTAATCCCTGCTATTCTGGAGGCTGAGGCACAAGGATTGTATATTTGATGACAGCCTCAGCAACTTAGCAAGACCTTGCTTCAAAATAAAAATAAAAGGGCTTCGGGCTAGACATGGTAGCAGATTCCTGTAATCCCAGTCTCAGCAATTCAGTGAGGCCCTAAGAAGCTTAACAAGACCCTGTCTCATAATAAAAAATAAACATGGCTAGGTATGTAGTTCAGTGGTAGAGTACTAGGAAAGAAAAAAAAAAAGATTTTCAGTCTGATTAATCAATATCCCTAATCTCTCTTTTTTTTTTTTTTTAAAGAGAAAGGGGGAGAGAGAGAGAGAGAGAGAGAGAGAGAGAGAGAGAGAGAGAGAGAGAATTTTTTTTTAATATTTATTTTTTAGTTATCGGTGGACACAACATCTTTGTTTGTATGTGGTGCTGAGTATCGAACCCGGGCCGCACGCATGCCAGGCGAGCGCGCTACCCCTTGAGCCACATCCCCAGCCCAATATCCCTAATCTCTATTAGGGGAAACAATTCCTTTCATTATGACATTTCTCTATCTAAAGAGTCACAGGTAGAATCCTGCAATAATAAGTGGGATATGAACCACCCATATAAGATACATTTGGGAAGAATGCAAATATATCATTCACATCTCTTAGAAACAAAGAATAGTTAAATGTTAGAGCTGAAAGGAACTAAAGACCTGGAAAAGTACAATGATCAAGATCCAAGAACAAACCAAAAGATTAGCAAGAATGAGTTTAATATAATGCTTTTAAGCCGGGCATGGTGGCAAATGCCTATAATCCCAGTGGCTTGGGAGACTGAGGCAGGAGGAGTGAGAGTTCAAAGCCAGCCTCAGCAAAAGTGAGGCACTAAGCAACTCGGTGAGACCCTGTCTCTAAATAAAATACAAAATAGGGCTGGGGATGTGGCTCAGTGGCTGAGTGCCCCTGGGTTCAATCCCTGGTACCCCGCCTCAAAAAAAAAAACCCATATATATAATGCTTTTCCCTCTGCTGTACCACTCTCTCATACATGTCTCAGGAGATATGTTTATGAATACTATCAGTCAGAAAACAGGACTGAATTGGAGGAATGTTCTCACTACCCAAATGTAAACCCTAAGGCTTCTCCCTTTGTAGACCACTTGGTCTGATTAAGTGACTTGAAAACTTTTTAAGTATCAGAAGGGTACAGTGTCAGGCACAGTGGTATGTGCTTGTAATCCCAGAGATTTGGGAGGCTGAGGCAGGAGGATCACAAGTTCAAGATCAGTCTCAGCAATTTAGTGAGACCCTGTCTCAAAATAAAATTTAAAAAAGGACTGGGGGAATAAAAGGACTGGGAAGGTAGCTAATACAAAGTAGAACATTCCTGGGTTCAATCTCCAGTACTACAACAACATTGGAAATGCCAAAGCAATATCAATATCTCCAGTGAAAATAAAGCACTGAAGTGCACAGGATATGATGATAAGAAAGATAGCAGTTTCATGAATTTTGATACTTTAGTACAAGATATCTAGCTGTTATTTTGAATCATTCTATGATGGCATCAGTCAAAACATAACAATAACTTTTAAAAGTCTGCTAATACAAAACTAAACATTTCAACCTGAATCAAGTGGAATCAGGGCAAACTTCAAGCTGTAAAAATACAAAGGAAGAATTCAGTCACTGGTATTACTCAGCTGTCTGAAAATATCTCAATAATTTTCCTTCTGATGTTCTGTGACATTCAGTATGTTCCACATACTGAATGTCTATATATCCATTTTCTTAAGTGCTTCTAATTAATTACAATTCTTTAATATATTTCATGCAAATTAAATCTGCTGGAGATTTAAAAACCAAAGTAGAAATGGCAATTCATCCAGCAGACATCCCTTACCTACCTGTGGCTCTGTGTGAATTGGAGAGGGGGGCTGATGCCTCAGCAAGGGCTGCAAGGGTGGCCAGCACTGAGGTGGTAGAATTTGAGAATTGTACTGTTGAGGCATGGGGGTCACCTATTTTAGTAAAAAAGGCAAATGAGGTACAGTGGAGAGAATAAATTGAGGCAAACTAAAAAAATAGCTTATTAAATCAAAAGTTTAACTTTTCAATCTAATGTCCTTAATCTTGTTCTCCAATCCAAACTGATATAAAACATTTACCAAGAGTTAAAAACTCTTTTTAAGCTGGGCACATGCCTGTAATACCAGCAGCTCAGGAGGCTGAGGCACGAAGATTGTTTCTAAAGCCAGCTCAGCAATCTAGCAAGGCCCTATCTCAATTTAGTTAGACCCTATCTCAAAATAAAAAAAAAAATAAAAAGAGCTGGGGATGTGGTTCAGTGGTTAAGCGTCCCTAGGTTCAATCCCCAGTTCAAAACAAAACAAACAAACAAAAAAAACCCACCTCTTTTAAGATCTAAAAAGTGTTTCCTTTGAAGTAGGTTATGTTGATATACTCTGGCCACTACATGCACCTCATTTGATCATTCTTTTGGTAATGCCAATGCTGAATATTAGTGGTCAACATGCCACAATTGCTGCCCACTCCTCAGGCTGGCTATTCCAGACTCTGGTTAGAAGTCTTGAAAGCATGCCTGACCCAACCTAAGCAATGGTTAATGGAGCAGACTTTTCCTGCCCTTTGTTCTACCATACTACCTCTGTTCACTAGCTAGACAGATGAGAAGAATAGGACTGACCACTAGTGTAAGGATAGGTAAAAGCCTCAAGTTCCACATACTGAATGTCAAACTGGAAGTAAAATGGATTAATGTTAAAAATAATAATTATCGACTTTAGTTAATACATGATGAGCTGTTTAAAAAACAACCTTTTACTCTTATATCTATTCTCACAGCTTAGTTCTATGAGGAAAGCATATTAGATCTGGCAACAGGGCATGACTAACTTTATGAACCAAAAGAGTTGCTCAACAGTGGTAGAAATCTAAATTTTATAAAATGAAGTGCATTCTGACTTTCACTACAATTTTGGAGATACTGATTATGTATTATGGATTTCTTGCCTTTTAGCTGCAGATATGCCATTCTTGACTCTATAAACACTTTTGGTTAGCTGGCATGAGATTCAGCTTTGTCATTCATTATAAAAGTTGTTGCCGCTTTCTATATTGGCTAATCCTATATTCTTTTTTTTTTTTTTGCAGTAGTGGGGGTCAAACTCATGGATACTTTATAATTTTATCATTGAACTAAACCCCAAACCCTTTTAAATCTATTAATTAATTAATTAATTAAGCACTAGGGATTGAACCCAGGGTGCTTTATCACTGAGTTATATACCCAGTCCTTTTTACTTATTTTTAAAAAATGAATGCTTTTGTCCTTTATTTATATGTGGTGCGTCAAACCCAGTGTGTCACACATGCCAGGCAAGTGCACTACCACTGAGTCACAGCCACAGCACCCCCCACCCCACCCCACCCTTGAGTCCTTCTTATTTTTTATTTAAAGAGAGCGAGAGAGAGAATTTTTAATATTTATATTTTAGTTTTTTCGGCGGACACAACCTTGTTGTTTGTATGTGGTGCTGAGGATCGAACCCAGGGCCTCACACATGCTAGGCGAGCACTCTACCGCTGAGCCACAGCCACAGCACCCCCCACCCCACCCCACCCTTGAGTCCTTCTTATTTTTTATTTAAAGAGAGCGAGAGAGAGAATTTTTAATATTTATATTTTAGTTTTTTCGGCGGACACAACCTTGTTGTTTGTATGTGGTGCTGAGGATCGAACTCGGGGCCGCACGCATGCCAGGCGAGTGCGCTACCGCTTGGGCCACATCCTGAGGGTCTTACTAAACTGCTGAGGCTGTCCTCAAACTTATGGCCCTCCTATCTTAGCCTCCAGAGTTGCTGGGATTACTGCTGTGAGCCATATGCCTGACATCTGTTTTTGTTTGTTTATACTCCAGATGGAACCCAGGGGTGTTTTACCACTGAGCTACATCCCCACTCCTTTCAATTCTTTTATTTTGAGCCAGGGTCTGACTGAGTTGCTTACAGCCTGGATAAATTTCTGAGCTTGGCCTTCAATTTAGAATCCTACTGTCTCAGCCTCCCTAGTACCTGGGATTACAGGTGTGTGCCATTATACCGAGCTCCAGCACTTATTTTTTAATTTTTGAGACAAGATCTTGCTAAATTGCTCGGGTTAGCCTTGAACTTGTGATCCTCTTGCTTCAGTCTTCCAAGTTGCTGGGATTACACTCATGCATCACTGTGCCGGGCTTGATTTAACAATTTTTAAATAAACAATACAAATATATTTATTGATGTTATATATTTTAGAAATTTAGAAATTACATGTATACAAAATTATATTGTTAAGTTATTCAGATCACCATGCAACTTGACTTCCAACTAGACTCTAATACACTTACCTTCTTTAAAAAGGCCCTGTTCCTTGGAGAAGATAATGCTAAGTGAAGTCAGCCAATCCACAAAAAATAACTGCTGAATGTTTTCTCTGACATAAGGTGCCTGACTCATAGTGGGGTAGGGAGGGGGAGCATGGGAGGAATAAATGAACTCAAGATAGGGCAGAGGGGTAGAAGGGGAAGGGAGCAGGCAGGGGGTTAGCAAGGATGGTAGAATGTGATAGACATCATTATTCGAAGTACATGTATGAAGACAGGAATTGGTATGAACATACTTTATATATAACCAGAGATATGAAAAATTGTGGTCTATATGTGTATTAAGAAGTGTAATGCATTCTGCTGTCATTTATTTAAAAAAATAAATAAAAATAAAAATGCCTTGTTTGTTTGACTGTGCTAGGGATTCAACCCAGGGCTTTATAAATGCCAGGCAAGCCCTTTCCAACTGGGTGTATCTCCAGCTCTAAAACTTACTGTTAATTTTTAGATTTTTTCACTACCTATGTTTAAAGATTTTTTAAAAATTTTTTTTTAGTTATACATGGACACAATATCTTTATTTTATTTTTTAAAATATCCATTTATTTCTTCGTTGTAGTTGGATACAATACCTTTATTTTATTTATTTTATATGTGGTGCTGAGGATCGAACCGAGGGCCTTGCACATGCTAGATGAGCACTTTACTGCTGAGCCACAACCCCAGTCCAGTTTGTTTATTTTTATGTGATACCGAGGGTCAAACCCAGTGCCTAACATGTAAGAGGCAAGTGCTCTGCCACTGAGCCACAACCCCAGGCTTTAAAGATTTTTTTCAGCTTTTATTCTATCAAGAAATTAGTTATCCGGGCTGGGATTGTGGCTCAGTGGTAGAGCGCTCACCTAGCACATGCGGGGCTTTGGTTTTGATCCTCAGCACCACGTAAAAATAAATGAATGGAATAAAGATATTGTGTCCAACAATAACAAAAAAAATTATATATTTGATAGAGTGCTTGCCTTGCATGCACAATCAGGGTTCAATCCCCAACACCACACACACACACAAAAAAAAAGAAGTTAGAGACTGAGGTTGTAGCTTAGTGGCAGAGCGCTTGCCTAGCATGTGTGAGGCACTCGGTTTGATCCTCAGCACCACATTTAAAAAAAATAAATAAATAAAACAAAAAACCTAAACAAATAAAGGCATGCTGTCCATCCAAAACTATAAAAAAAGAAGAAGTCAGTTATCACTGGGTGCGGTTACAAGTCTGTAATCCCAGCGGCTGGGGAGACTGAGACAGGAGGATTTTGAGTTCAAAGCCAGCCTCAGCAATGGCAAGACACTAAACAACTCAGTGAGACCCTGCCTGGGAATATGGCTCAGTGGTTGAGTACCTGAGTTCAATCCCTGGTACAAAAAAAAAAAAAAAAAAGAAGTCAATTATCTGTAAAATACTTAAGGAGGGGCTGGGGATATAGCTAATTTAATAGAGTGCTTGCTTCATGCACAGGACCTGGGTTCAATCTCCAGTACCACACACACACACACACACACACACACACACACACAAAAAAAAAACCCTTAAGGAAATCCCTCTTTTTTTGTTGCTGTTTTGTTTTTTAATATTTATTTTTTAGTTTAGGTGGATACAATATCTTACATTTATGTGATTCTAAGGATCGAACCCAGTGCCTCATGCATGCTAGGCAAGCACTCTACTACTGAGCCACAATCCCAGCCCTGCTGCTCTTTTTGATACTAGGGACTGACCCAGGGGTACTTTACCACTGAGCTACATCCGGAGCCCTTTTTTATTTTTGGAGCTTAGGGCCTTCGTAAATTGCTGAGGCTGGCCTTGAACCTGGGATCTTCCTGCCTTAGCATATGACACCTTACCTGGCAAGGAAACCCCTATATATTCCTTGTAGAAAATCCTTCCATAGAGCAAAGAATTAATTCTTTTTTCTCTCCTTCTCAGTACTAGGAATTGAACCCAGAGTCTCATGCATCATAAGCAGACACTCTACCACTGAACTACATCCCCAGCCTTTTTTATTTATTTTGGGATAGTCCCCTAAATTGCCCAGGCTAGTCTGGAACTTGGGATCCTCCTGCCTCAGCCTTAGCAGTAGTTGGACCTACAGGTTCGAACCACCACAGATTAAGAATCTCTCTTTTTTTTTTTTTTTTTGAAGTAACTAATTTAGATACTTTACTGGATTATAAATTTGCATTTCAGGATATTTTCCTTTAAGAGGTAAATTGCTGGCCTAGAGCCAGTCTTCCTCTCTCTGCCCAAACCTGGCCTACTCTGCTCTACTGAGTATATTCATTCTACTTTACGGACTGTTATTTTTAGCTTCATTAAATCTATGCATTTTCTGTCCAAAATAATGATGATGATTGGCATGCGTACGGCCCGGGTTCGATCCTCAGCACCACATACACACAAAGATGTTGTGTCCGCCGAGAACTAAAAAATAAATAAAATTCTCTCTCTCTCTCTCTCTCTCTCCTCTCTCACTCTCTCTTTAAAAAAATAAAACAAAAAATAATGATGATGATGATGATGATAATAATAATAGAGGTGAATTGATTGTTGCTGGATATGCCAGCACATGCCTGAAATCC